GCAAACTTTTTAGCAGGGCCTGTTGTGACAGGACAAGGGGGAATGGCTTCAAACTAAAGGGGGGTAGATTTAAACTAGATATAAGGAAGAAATTTTTTACACTGAGGGTGGTGTAACACTGGCACAGGTTGCCCAGAGAGGTGGTGGATGCCCCATCCCTGGAAACATTCCCTGGAAACATTCAAGGTCAGGTTGGACGGGGCTCTGAGCAACCTGATTGAGTTGAAGATGTCCCTGCTCATTGCAGGGCGGTTGGACTAGATGACCTTTAGAGGTCCCTTCCAACCCAAACTATTCCATGATTCTATGATTAACTTAATTCTTTGAATGAGGTGCAAGCAGGTAATAGCATGTTAGTACTCATTTAGGCTTTGATTCACGAAGTACTTGCTCACATTTATTTAGCTGATGTTTGGTTGGATGTTAGAGTTCCTACCTTACAGCTGTAGGTGCTCTAACATCTGATCAACAATGGAATGGAACCTCTAACAGTAAAGACACGCATCTTGTATTCATGAATAAACTGCGGGCGGGGAAAACTTTCTTGACTTCTCACTAGCCCTTTTTATAGCTCCATATAAATGTGGAACAGAAGGGGTGACAGAATGGCTCCCTGCAGCACCCCACACTTCACAACTTATCAGGAACAGAAGAAGCGATCACAACTAGCTATCAGGGTCTCTTGGAGAAAATAGAGCAGGTGTCAATGAGATTCCCACAAGTCTTTTCAGTAGCCTCTCTCAATGCAAAGTATTGCTGAGCTGAGGTCATCTTTTTAGTGTTATCAAGAAATATAGCGAGTTATCAAGAATTAACACAGCAATATATATTACGTATTTAGTGAAACTGTTGCAATGGTAACTGCATCTGTATTCAATCTGACGGACCCATATTTGTACATTAGCGCGGTCATTCATTTCCTGCTGCGCTACCTCTGCCAGATGAAGCCAACTGTAGAAGAATGCCATGAAGGTTAATCCTGGATCTCCCTCTGCAAAAGTTAGGCATGCTACTGTGGCTAAACTTACTGTTCTTTCACCTCAGCATCTAAGATCAGGTGTGAGCTTAGTAGAAAACCTGCTTGAACTAGGTGACTGAACAGCAGTCTCTGATTTTGCAAACTCATGCATTCCAGTAGCACTTTGTGCCTGCACAGTAATTACAGGCATTCCTTCTGTCACAGCGTTAGCTGTCTAAGAGCTGAGTATCTAAGCTGATCATTGGGCGTCCTTTTTGGCAGTGAAGAGTGTCTGGTGCTTCCAGTGGAACATTCATCTCGCCTCTGTCAGGGGTCTATATTAGAGCTACTTACAAACCCATTCACAAAGAACAATTTTCAGGAGGCAATGAAGTAGGAACAGAAGTACAAAGCAAAAAAAGGCCTTTGCTCCCCCCCCTTCCCCACACCCCCTCCCCCCTCACTTTCTTGAAGTAAGAATCTTAAAGGCTGCTTGAAACAATGCTGAGTAAAATGCTTTCAGGCATATGGCTGTTAAGTTCATTGCATTCATTTGGATCTACTGCTAGTGTCATTAAGTATTTGAATGCTACTTCAGCTCCTTAGAAACAGAGAATTCCAAATTATTTTAGTACTAAATGCAAGGCCTGCTGTTTGCATGAGTGCGATTTATATTGTCTTATTTACATGCATACTTTTCAGGTATGCGAGACTAATTTGTTCTTCAGCAAAATGAGATTAATGTGGAAATGTTAATGATTTGTATACAATCCCTCGCTGAGTGTCAGCAATGCAACCGAAGCTGTTCAGGTAGAAAAACTCTTAGGAGGAAAAAGCTGTAGTGCTAGAATTGAGTGTTGTCTGTTAAAGCCTGAGTAAGAGTTAAGCACGCTTTATGTAAATATATCGAAGCCACCTGCTAGAAATCATTTTGGCTCTGCAATGTTCCAAGAGTTCTGTACTTGTTGGGTCTGAAAATACCATGTTGCATTTCATAGCTTGTGTGTGGTACCATCAGTGATTCAGTTGCAAGCTAAAAGAAGGCTTGAAAATGGTGTCTCCTCTAGCAGCCTGAAAACACTGTAGGAATTTGAGGCTTTAAGAATATTCTGTAGCTGTTATAGAAATCCAAAATTTCAGTCAAAGATAATTTATAAAAAAAAAAGAATAAAATAGAATTAGCCTTAATTTTTAAAAGACCTTTCAGAAATTCTCAGAGGTAGTTTGCTGATAGCCACAGCATAAAAAGAATGTAATAAAACTTTATTCACTGCCACATATCTATTTCCATAGTTCTCAAGAAGTTTGTCGTGCATCTTTTTTGTCACAAAACTGACTGAATAATAGCAGCAGAGTTTAGATAGTTTCTGAAAAACAGTAAGTTTTTCAAGCAGTGGAGAATCTGGCCTCATTAAGAATAGAAGAGAATACAGCAATATACATGTTACCTCAGATGTACAGTTAATTCAGGGTTCCTGTTGAATTGAGCTGGAATTCTGTTTCAATATTTTGTTTACTTGTATTAATTATTATCTTGAGTCTCCCATTATAAAAAGGGTCCCTCATGCATACCTTCCCACTTAATCCAACATAGTCAGGCAGTTTATATTTTTAATTTATTTTTTGAAGCTGTATTACATTAAAAATTCTGATTTTTCCCTTTGTTTTATCCTGAAGTTGGTGTGGGAACAGTGCAGAGGGAGAATGACTTTTTTTAGTCCTCAGTATTTTGGCCTCCAGTGTGTCTGCCCACTCAGTAAAGTAAATTATAGTGAGCAGCATATATGTAACGATACAGCTGAGATTGGCCAGTATGTAGAATGCCTTTGGAAATCTCGTCTGCATTTGTCTTTTTATTTATTCATTTGCCTGAATAGAAAACGTATTAAAGCTCCTGATCCTAAGATAAAGCTGTGACATAAACTGGCAGTAGATGGAAAATATTATCTAGTTTGTCCTGTGACATACCATCAGTAGGTTAAAGTTGCCTTTTCTACAGTTGTAGTTTGGTTTTGTGGGGTTTTACTATTTGCTTGTTTGTAAGTAGTGTATAGAGTTGGGATATGTAAATAAAGAGATTCAACCTTTGCGTGCATTTTACATTATTTTGGTGCAAATTATTACCTTTAAAAAGCACATTGATGTATAGCGACTTGATTCCCTACCTATTGACTCCATTGGGAGTTTTGAAATGGATTCCTGTGGATGCCAAGACACATGTCCTGATTCTGTGCATAGCAATACGGTGAGCAACATTAAGAGTGTCAGTCTTGTCTGTAGAGACACATTAAATCACTGGATGACAGCAGCCACATGTCCTGCTTATAAACCATTAAAAAAGACCTGGTAACTCTGGCTGCTTAAAAAATATTCGGAGAGACCTACTCTTTATATCTTTCAGTTTGCACAAAGGAGTGAATAAAGCTTATAAGCAGCCTTTAAAAATATTTCCCCATTCCTGTATGGGAGTAATTTTTAGTTCATAGTTTCAAGACCAAAAGTCAATCACTAGTTTTTTATCCCAGAGCAAATGTTTACAACAGAGATACTAAACACTTGAAAATAGAGTAGCTTGTAATGGAAGCGACAGCTCATCTTTAACTTTGGAAGGGCAAGCAGTACCAATTTAATTAAAGCTGTGTTAAAATAGGACTGTCATTTGTATCACAGTGATTCTCCACCCCTCCGAGAAGTCCTGCTGCCATTTTGTACCACACATTCTTGTCTTGTGCAAATTAATAGATCGTTTTATTTTCCACAGGAAATCTGAAGACTTTTATAGCAAATCCTCCAGTGTCAAAATGAACACAGGTATGCTGCTTCTGTGAGATTTTTCTTTACTCTTATGTGTTGTTTAGTAAGCAGACAAGGTCCCATTAACTTTTCATTAACAAATTGTACTTTAGTTGGCACTGAACTCAAATTAAGCAAGATATTTTAATAGTATGTCTGCTTATGTGCATTTGTATTCCATATATAAAATTTACATACATGTTTTTCTATGTATGGATATATATGGATATGTGAAATATACATGCATGTTTAGCTTTCTGTGCTTAAGTATCAGTTTTGTAAGTGTATGTTTTATGTAAAAATACGTAGTGTGAGGACATAACAGCTATGGAAAAGTGGTGTTAAAGCATCACATTTTCCTAAGAAAATGCACATGCTTTAAAAATGCTTTGTTTTCATTCTCTACAGTCATTAAATTAAGGGGCATATAAATACTGCCCTGTATTATTAGCTACACTTGCACAATCAGATGAGGATAACTATTTTGTACTTATAGGGATTTGTATTTTCTCTCAAGTTGCTGTGATAGATGTATTGACCAAATGAAGTACTCTGTAGGAAGTTATCTTCATGATCTGTGACAACGTACTAATATTTGCTCCTGAATCATTGAAGTCAATAGACTGTGCTGCTGGGTTTGGCTGGAAATGGGAATAGGCCTCTCGAAAGCCGACTGATGAAATCCTGGCCTCACTCATGTCAGGTGTAAATTTTCAGTTGCAGTCAACTCTTTATACTCCAGTGGTGAACTGTCTGGTTTGCAGACTAATGTGGCACAAGGATAGACACATCCGTCCTTTCCAAACCAGTTGGTTTTATCATTGACCATAGTGCTGCACCATGACAACTGATATGACAACTTGAAATAAGCAAAATGTGTTAAGTGGGACCTGAGGACCTGAACTACCTTTGAAGCCAGTTTGGGTGTTTCAGCAGCACACTCTAAGTTGAAGGGATTAGCTTTTCCATGGTATAGGCTGCCATTATCCAGGCCACTGTATTGATCAGGCTTCCTGCCTTCCCGTTGTCTCAGACAATGACTGGAGCTCAGTAGAACCAGGTTCTTAGACAGATTTTTTAATACAAAGTTAAAATATATTGGCTCACTTGAAACCACTACATTTGTAAATATAATAAGCAGGAGAAATTACATTTATCAGTTGAGTTTATGTTCTTTTTCCCAAAGTTTTGGTGGTTCTTAATTATTTTACAGACGCTAACCAGGGTGGTGTGTTTTTCATTTATGGAAATACTATTTGAAATTTGTCCTATCCTCTTGCATTTTTAGTGAAGACATCTTTCCTAAACATGTCAGTCTGTATAATTAAGGTAGTACTGGAATACTGCTTGCTTCATAGAACTGTAATTTCAGAAGTAACTCAGCTAATCATCATACATTTGACTGTGATTACATTGTGCGTTGCAATCACATGAGTTAAAATCATATTATAGATGTCATTTTATAGCTTGTACTTTGAAAAATGTAGATAGTGTCAGAGCGGTAAATTGCCAGTTTGTGCCACTGCAGCTCTGAAGTATGACTTTGTTCTATGTTGTACTAAGATTTTTCACATAAGCTAGAAATTCTCAAGAGAAATAGACGTAAGATTTAAGTAATCTATGTGGCTGAATGACTTCTATTGGGGATTGGGAGTCTTCTGATCACACAGGAGCCTTGAAAACCGATTTAAAAAACCTGAACACACTGAAATCTTTTCCAGTTATCTAAGGATATCATGATTGTAAGCTGAACTTTAATCTACTCTGCACTTACACAGTGAAAACATTTTTCATCTTGTGCATGCTTGATATTAATGTGCGTGTTGCCAGCTGCACTAAAAGGAGGTATTGACAAAAAATGTGGTATTTCCTATCAGGTCTATTAATGGAGATTGTTTCCTGACTGTAAAAAAAGATAAAATCCAGTGAGTAGGGTGTAAAAGTGAACATCTTGCACCTATCTGTTGATAAAGCATCACTTTACTAAGGAAGAGAGTGACTGAGGTCAAAGCTGTTCTGCATGGTGTTCTGGTCTAGTTGTTTCTTTTTTTTTTTTTTACACTATGTTGTCTCCGAACATAAAATGAGTGCTGCAGTTCTTTTTTTTTTTTTAATATATATATATTTCACTGCTTTATAACAGCAATTTGTGCATGATGCAATTGGAGGTTATCAGATACTATTGGTTTGCCACTAGTTTGTTTTAAAAATATGCATTTCATTAATTACTCCTACAGATAAATGAGCACTCTAGTTCGATGCCAGTAACTGCTGAAGTGGCAAAGCAGCATATACACAGCTTTAAAAAGAAAAAGTAAATCTGCTGCTTAGAGTGGGCTCCTCTAATCCAGTGTTCCCTGTGGCTGCAGACTTGGCAGTCTGTCCCAGCAAACCCTGCAGAAGATATTTTTGTCTACAGAGAAAATGTTTTTAAGAGCTTTGGTTTTCAATACTCTACCATATATGGGAGGGATTTTTTAGCATTTGATGTTAATTCTGTACCACATGTTAGGAAGGAATATTCAACGGCATAAGGCAATGAAACGTTCGCAAAAGCAAAGAAATAGACATAAAGTATAGGGGAGGTTTTCAAAAGGACCAAAGGTACTTTGGCTCATAGTTCCTTTTGGTGTTCAAATGCTGTCATCATTTAAAAATAATAGTCTAATAGAATGTGTGCCTTTTTAAACCCAGACTAAGCAATCATCAACAGAATAATATTTTAAACTATATATAGGGGTTTTCATCAACAAGTCTTCAAGTACTTTACAGATTTGATGAGCATCATTAACTTGGTAAGAGATTTTGAGAACCTAAGTCACAGAAAACCTGAGCTACCCATGAAGCTCACATCAGATTAAAACACAGGATAAATGTACTTATTGTTCATACTATATATGTGCATGCATAGATGATGTTGGGGGAGAGGTAACTGCATTGAGGAATAATGAATGGATACAAGTTAATATGCTAAAACAGATTCTTAGTGTCCATCCATAAAAATTTTGGCTGAGTTTCACACAGATAATACTTGGTAAATGCATCTAATTTTAAAATTATTAAACAAGTTAGCTCTTTGCAGTAGATGAAGCACATAAAGAGCAGCCAAGAGTGAAAAAGTATGCAGTTCTGGAAGACTGCAAATATTTTGTGTCTGTTAAATTTATTAATGGAAGTCATCACATGCACTAATCTCTTACATTTTGTCTGGGAGACAAGAATAGAAATTCTTGGGTCCCTGCAGAGTTCCTGAATAGATTGTGAAGCCACTTTTAGATCACTAAAGCAAATTAGGTGGGCTCGAGTGTTTCAGGCATTCTGCAAAAAATTTACTTTTTTAATCATTATTTGTTGTAATTTAGCAGCATCAAAGAACCAAATAATAGTAGGTTCGCCTGTGTAGTCAATGTTATGTTATGTTAGTTAGGTTATGTGATAAAAGCTCATCTGCACACCCACAAAGGAGCTCGGAGAAACAGTAGCAGGAGGGGAAGCCCAAATAATAGCCTGCCCTGCCAGGCTACTCCCAGGCCCATCACAGGGGCCATCAAAGGCCCATCTCCACAAGCCTAGAGGAGCACAAGGGCAGGCAGGAACCCAAATTAAGGACTCCCAAGGAAGGAAGGGAGGCTCAAGGGCCTCCCTTGTCCAGGCCCCTCCCAGGACTGTCTCAGGAGAGCCTCAGCCCTGGGGTCCAGGCATGGAATGAGTGGCAGACTCAATGTCTGAGCCCAGTTGCTGGAAGGATCCACCTTGTACGTGCGTGCATATATATTCTCATTAGCGGACCTTCGTCCTGCTCAGCCAGAGCGGGGAGGGGGATGAGGCCATTGTGCCATCTGTGTTAGTGTGAGTGGTCTGAGCGTCTGTGATCTGTGTGGCCAACCATGTATGTATGTGGTGTATACATGTCCTGTTGTGCATGTGTCTGCTGGGAACACATCTCCAGACTCACTGCTGGTTGGATCTGGGGACATGGAGAGGCAGCAGCTTTGTCTGTCTTGGACTGTTGGATCCAGCACTATATATTTGCCTCAGAAAGTCAGAATGCAAGACTCCAAATATTTTGTGTCTTTTAAATTTATTAATGGAAGTCATCACATGCACTAATCTCTTACATTTTGTCTGGGAGACAAGAATAGAAATTCTTGGGTCCCTGCAGAGTTCCTGAATAGATTGTGAAGCCACTTTTAGATCACTAAAGCAAATTAGGTGGGCTCGAGTGTTTCAGGCATTCTGCAAAAAATTTACTTTTTTAATCATTATTTGTTGTAATTTAGCAGCATCAAAGAACCAAATAATAGTAGGTTCGCCTGTGTAGTCAATGTTATGTTATGTTAGTTAGGTTATGTGATAAAAGCTCATCTGCACACCCACAAAGGAGCTCGGAGAAACAGTAGCAGGAGGGGAAGCCCAAATAATAGCCTGCCCTGCCAGGCTACTCCCAGGCCCATCACAGGGGCCATCAAAGGCCCATCTCCACAAGCCTAGAGGAGCACAAGGGCAGGCAGGAACCCAAATTAAGGACTCCCAAGGAAGGAAGGGAGGCTCAAGGGCCTCCCTTGTCCAGGCCCCTCCCAGGACTGTCTCAGGAGAGCCTCAGCCCTGGGGTCCAGGCATGGAATGAGTGGCAGACTCAATGTCTGAGCCCAGTTGCTGGAAGGATCCACCTTGTACGTGCGTGCATATATATTCTCATTAGCGGACCTTCGTCCTGCTCAGCCAGAGCGGGGAGGGGGATGAGGCCATTGTGCCATCTGTGTTAGTGTGAGTGGTCTGAGCGTCTGTGATCTGTGTGGCCAACCATGTATGTATGTGGTGTATACATGTCCTGTTGTGCATGTGTCTGCTGGGAACACATCTCCAGACTCACTGCTGGTTGGATCTGGGGACATGGAGAGGCAGCAGCTTTGTCTGTCTTGGACTGTTGGATCCAGCACTATATATTTGCCTCAGAAAGTCAGAATGCAAATAGTAAGAATCCCTGGTCTAAAGACTTCTAAACTTGAATTCACTGTGCAGACAAAGGGGAAGATGGTACCGTTCACAAGGACAGTGGATAGAATAATGATCAGCAAACATGATGTTTCGGTGCCATTTTTCTTGTCTTTGAGCTGTAAGAGCTTATAAAAAATTTCCTGCCCCCTGGATGCTCTCTCTCACCTCTTCACAAGAGGTCACCATCCTTTCATCTTTGCTGACTTGGTTTATGCCACTGGTTTTACTGACTTTCTGAAACAGTCTTTTCAAAAAAAAACCACCCCATGTTCCTAAATGAAAGTGGTGGTGTTTTGAATTGGCTCCATTCTGCTTTGGAGCAGGACCTGACCAATAAACCATTTGTCAAATAGAGATACAGCTCACTTAGGGTGATGCTGTCCGTAGTGGCAGCAGTTGTTGGGATTGTGGATTTAGGGGGAAAGGGTTAAAGTTCTTATTTGTGGAGAGAAACAGAATTAAGGGAGGGAGAGAGAAAGAAGTGAGGAAAGGTGAGGAATAGACACAGGCTGAAAAGAAAAATTGTAGGAGGGCAGTTGGCAAAGGGAGAGGAGCTGAATGGTGAGCTAACAAGAGGAAGAGAGCATCCAGAGCCCCACCATGGAGACAGTTAGGATACATACGCAAATACACACATCCTCCTAGCTGGAAGGCAAGGCACCACCTTGCCTGTCTTTTCCAGTCAGTGGGTGGCTCTTTCTTTTTCTCTCTTTAAAGGTAAGTCTGCAGCATTGATCCTAGCATTCAGTTCATCCCTATATGGCCCTTGCTCTGCAAGATACTGTCAGAAACATGTCTTACCAGATAATCCTTACCTCCCCTTTCTCCTTCATTCATTTCTGAAGTACCTGCTAAGGATGCTTATTTGTCTTTTCCTGATTTGATGGGAGTATGTAGGGCTTGCAAAAGAATGTCTAGGCACCAACAGTGCTAAGTCATGATTTGAGCTGGACTTGCATTTTAGGCAGCTGTTTTGATTGTGAATTACTGCCCAACTTCATATTTTATTATTGCCTGCAGACCTTAGATGATCAGGTCTCCTTTGCTTCAACGTTAAAACAATACCTAGGAAGACAGGACTCTCACTCCTGAAGAACTTGTCATGTCAAAAGCACAGAGGATTGTGCTTATGTGTATACGTATTTGCACACATTTCATTTTTTTATATATGCATACATTTTGTATAGATTGTTTCACATATCCTCATTTGTTCCTTGAGTAGCAGCTGTGCAATATTAATTGCTTATAGTTTGCAAGTGAAATGAGCAGATGATCTTTAATTCAGCCTCCCTTACTGTTTTTGAATTCTCTGCTCTCTAGACTTTGAGCTTTTTGGTGTTATTTGGACTTCAACAATCTGGGTGAATATAGTTAGTATTTGCTGGAAATTCAGTGGAGCTATGAAAAAGGAATACAGGCTGGAATAAGTCTCTTGAAGTTCAACTGTGTAAGGCCGAGCAGATAAGGGAAGCAGTTTGAAAACTGCCTCTTTTGAGGCAGCATGCAGATTCTTCTGATCCTCATTCAGATACGATGCCCTTGACTTAATGGGAACCTGGCCTGAACAAAGATGGGAAAATGGAGTCCATAATGCATAAATATGTGCTTGCCCACACACATTTGTATTTTATTAGAAATTTTGCACAACTCAATATGGTATATTTGTGTGGTTATGTCTTAATTGAGTGCTCATTGACTCTCATTAGTTTGTACAGTTTGAGAATGTTATTGCCGTTACAGACTTGCGTATGGGCTTCTATGTATAGGGGTAAATGTTGTATGCATATATGTATATTGTCAGTTACAACATCTGTTTTAGCTATCTTGTATGAAGCTATGTCCAACACTTTGCTAGATAATGGGTCCACTAAGTATAAAACTGACTCAGTTCAGTTACATTAAAAATTAATTTGAAGCAGAATTTCTTGAAGTTACAATGATGAAATATTTGTAGTCAGTTTTCTCATTGTCTTCCTTTCCTCCCACCTATCCTGAAATTCAGGAAGGTAGCTCTTGAAAAAATACAAATAAAGCATCACTTTGAATAAAAGATGTGACCGTATAACAAAATTGTTTGCCTGTTAGCTTGTGTTACTCAAATAAAGTATGCTGCCAATATTCAGATAAGAACAGAACCTCAATATCAACACATCATCAAATCTCCTTGGAATTACTTCTGGTGTTTGTCGGGGGGGGCGAGGGAATACAAGAATGGAAAATGTGATTTTAATTACCATTGCCATTCTATATTTATGCAAGCAAACTAAAACAAATGTGCAGATTTGATAGCCATTGTCTTTGTTTCACATGTACAACACCAATAATTAATTGCGGGTAACGTATTGCTTTTGACTATTGCTGACTGAAATCATTTGGCCTTTTGCCTTGAGACTTGGAATTGGCAATGAGTTTTTGGAACCGCTTACACCTGCGGCAGTGGCTCTGACGTTTGCCAACGTTAACAACTACTTAATGCATATCCTGCAAGACCTGTGGCCAGAGGGCTCTGCTATTTCGGGGGAATATTGGAATGAGCAAAGAAATACCAGGAGCTCACTTCTTTTGCAGACATGGGTTAAAGATGTCTCTGTGGCTCAAATTACTGCTATCATAGGAAATACTTTCTACTAATAGGTGGCAGGGCGTCCTTAAGCATAATTTTATAAAACTCCCTGTCATAGGACACAGACCTAAAAACCGTTAGGGCCTCTATGGTAGTTGTGGTTCTTCTTGGCTTCAGTGGGGCCCTGTATGAAATTTCAGTAATAACAAAATAATTACTATATTGAAGAGCAGAAAAATATTCTAGTTAAATATAATCAGGAAGAATATTTATTAACTTGCTTTTACAATTGATAGACTTGCTAAAGAGCTAAGTTGTGGGAAAGCTACCTTCTAATAATAACAAAATATTTATAAAACAGAATGACAGCTCCAAGTGAGAGAGGAGCAGAGAGTAAGGAAACAAAGGAGTCATGCAAGATCCAGAAGAAAGGTTTTTTCCATTCCTGGTTGTTCGGAGTGATTTCAGATTTCTAGTCATTCCCTTGGGATGTTATTGGGTTCCAGACATGCATTTTTTTATCTTCCATTAGATAAAGAAGAAAAGGGGGAGGCAGAACAAGGATGTTCCACCAAAACAACAAAAAAATTATGCCATCCTTAGTAATTTTGTTTCTTGAGCTTAAAGGATTCAGAAGACTAAACAAAAGCACTTTGTGAGCTGATCAAACATAAGCTTAGTTTATGAATGGTGCCTTTCTAATGCATACAATGAAATGATTTTACAGTGCAGATTATTGATTAATATTACTCTGGAATGCTTAATCCTTCATCTTGATTACTTGTTTGTTTTTACTAATTAGCTATAATTAAGCAGTCTTTCAGGTAACAGAATGTATATGTTCCCTAGTGGATTAAGTATTAAATATTGCTTTCTTTACTTATTTTCTGTGAGATTTATTGTTGTTTAAAGCTTGTGAAATTTTATGTATTCTGCTAATCTGCAAAACTTGCAAATTTACACATTCCTGCAGCAGTTCCCTAACTGCATGCTTATTTTCATGTACGTTTGGCATATCTCACACTGTGATATGTTGCATGTGCTTGCTCCCTTTGTCTGGGGCTGCTGTCTGTATTGTTTTGTGCTTCCAGATAGCGGTGGGTGTGCTCGCAAACGTGCTGCAATGTCTGTCACATTAACAGCTGTGAAGAGAGTTCAGAGTTCTCCAAACCTACTGGCCTCAGGTATAACCGCTAACCAGTGAGATACTACTCCTGAATGGCTTTTCTATAGTGTTATGCATTCCTGCAATATTACTCTGCAAGGAGAAGGGTAACCGTATTTTCTATTCCACTGACAGGTTTGTTACTTACTTCTACAATGCTCTTTAAAAAGCAGTCTTAATTTCTCTCTGCCTATGCTTCGTAGCCATTAATGAAAAAAATTAGGAAGACTTGGGAAAAACCAGTTATTTATAAATTAGTTTTGCCTTTGACACGTATTTTGGGTCTCATGTCCCCTGTTTTTTTCACGATAACGTAGCATGAAAAGTAGGTTTTGTTTACTACAAACTTCATTGTAAATTGCTTTAAAAACTCTTCTCAAAAGAAAAGAACCTGAATGTTGTTGTAAAATGATCTTCAGAAGCCAGATTAACTTGAAAAAAATCATTTATCAAGCATGTTTTCCTAAAAATGTTTAAAACAATAAAAACATGCAGAATATTCAGTAGACAGGCAGAACTGCTTCTTAGCAATACTCATGTCTGGTTTTGCAAAATTAAATCTTAATGGGTACCAGCTGCCCAGGTTCACTGGTGAATTAAGTAGTTGTAGGTATAAATCAGTAAAGAATCTTGAGCGGTGTAGACTAATTTACACCAATCTGAGCATGCAGTGTTCACACCAAACAAGTTTAATACAGGAAGCTGAATAAAGAATGAGCCAGAAAATAATAGCAAGATAAAGTCCTTGTTTTGTAGATCTTTTCAAATATAAGACTAATCCCCAGGAATAAGAACTGTTAGAATTTATGAAGCAAATTAAAAAGTTGGTTGCCACTCTTTGTAAGGATAATGGAAGAGTTATTGTGATTACTGCATGTATGTAAATTTAAGAATACATAGGGTTCTAATTTCTTAGCAACCCTTCTAACAATTTTTTTTTTTCATTTTAGCATGCAATACAAGCCTCTTAGTGTCTTGCTTTGTTGCACATAAATTAGTGATAAGGAGTGCTCTTAGTACTACAATTATTGTACCTTAAAAATATTTTTAATTCGTTTAGAGATGTCATAATTTTCGTTTCTTTAGGAGAAAAAATACTAAGATATCTACAAATAATCAAAAAACCCACCAGAATTTCCAATCTGTTCTGTGTTGGCAGTATGTATGTATCAGTTTCTGTGTTTTGCTTTGAAGTGGTGAAGAAAGCATCACACATTCTGGTGTGAAGGGGGAGAGAAAATCCTGACAGAATCTGTAGGCATCTTTCTTGGTTTTGAATTAAACCTTTCCAGTTCATCTTAAAGGAATGATATTTCTTTTGATATCTAGATTTTAGAGGGTAGTATATCACAGTATTTACTGGAAAAAAAACCACAGCACATGCTTGTTTATTATTGGCTGTCTGAAATAGTGGGGCTTAAATAACAGTAACTCTCAGCACGCTGTAACCTTCTGTAGAACTTGTGCAATAAACATTGCACAGTTACCTGTGGTCTAATATTCTGAGGTGTGCTTAGGTAACAGGAGGGAATTAGGTAACTGAACAAAAAGACTCCTATATATTTTTCAAGTTGTGTCATCATGTTTTTATTTCTAACACAAATTAATATCGGATGTTTCTTTTTCAGGGTCTGATTCGCAGTCTCCAGATTCAGGTAAATAAAACACTGTGTTATTTATGCGTCAGTGTAATACCATGTAAGTGGATGAATTATAACAATCTTCCATTTATTTGATTTCATCACTCCATACCTCCACATTCTTTAAGGAAAGCACCACTGAAATTATAATAATAATTGCAAGTGGTTAAGACCTCAAATTCAGGTCTCACTTGAAAGCAGTATTTCCTATAAGACAGTATATGTTGTCAGAAAATGAATTGTGTGGGAGAATACAGACTGCTAATTTGCCACCTTCAGCTTCAGTGGCACTTGCTATTTCATTTTTAGTCCCTTACTCAGGATTGCAAGTTCTGCCCACCCCACTTAGCAGCCTGCTCACATAATGTGTTACTTTTCCCAGCCTCTTACAATATTTTGTCTTCAAATCTGTAACTTGTTGAGGTAGGGTAGTATCTTCCTCTATGTTTGGACAATGTCCTGAGCGCTTTTCAGCTCTGAGGATAGAGACAAAACATGGTTGGTTGGTTGGAAAATCGAGATGTCATTCAGATTTGGAAACAAGATGCATTCTTGGAACAACTAATCGGGTACTGTGGTGAAATTTGGTGAAACTGCTGTGACCAACTAACTTTACGTGAGCTGGGATGTTTTTCAAAATCCAACGCAGCTGTGAAGTTCAAGAACCTAATCTGTGAAAGTACTTCAGCCTGCTTTATACAGGGGCTGAAGCACTAACATCTCAAAAGGACTCCCAAGGTTAAAATCCATAGTCTGTATGAATGTTGTGGGGAGATATCAAACTGCTACCAGCAGCATAGTCAATGCTTGAGTTTTCTAAATTTTAAAGGTAAATATTTTGTAAAGTGGCAGGTTTAGCCCTGTTCTCATAACTTGCATGGTGATAACAGCAGCAATGTCAGCTGTGTAGTAGCTAAACTTTTCCACAGTTTGTTTAATAGCTGGGTTGCTACGATGATGGCAATATAGAGATCTACTAATCACAAAAAAAATCGTTTGATTCTTTTTTCCTCACAAAAGCTTGGAGATCTTACAATGATGGAAGTAGAGAGACACTGAATGGAGATGCTAGCAGTTCATCTCTTACAGCAAAAGGTTTTAGGAGCGTGCGGCCAAATCTACAGGATAAAAAATCACCAACTCAGGTAAAACTGAACACACCAAGTTTCATGCTTTGGCATTTGTGTGTGGGTTATTCTTGGGGGATAGCATGTATAGATGGGATACCTCTATGGAACGTTGTCCTGATATCTTCCAGATAGTGCGAATCACCTGTTCATATGGGTCGTTACAAACTGTTTTACTGCATAGATAAAGTATACTCCACACAGGATGCATGCCTCCAGGTTAATTACCAGAAATTGCTTTCAGTGAACAAGACAGCCAGCTAAATAAAAGTAGGTCATACACAAATAAAAGCTTTCTAGGAGTGTTCCCAGACTTCAAAGAGTATTTATTAATATTTTACACTCGGAAAAATGCATCAGTCATCAAAATAATATCTGAGGGTAAAGGTTGATTAATTATAAGGTAGACAATGTTTCTGCCTGTTTTGCAGAACAATATAATTAGAGCACTCTAAAAAAACCCCAGTTAACTTGGAAACATATTTATCTGTCCAAAAAAGATCAACATACCAATGTCAATACTGTCTCTGTTACTATTTTAATTGCAAGGTTTAAGAGGCTCTTTGTGTTTTATATATGTGTGTTACCTGTGAATAACAGCTGGTTATCTAAGATCATGCAGTACATTTTGGAAATTACTTACATATCTGAACAATTTCCCAGTAATAATTCTTAGTCAGTGTAATAATTGTTTTTTTAAAAGAAAATGGACTATTGTGGGCTCCCTTCTGATCCCAGTTCACTCTGAGCAAATGGAACATCTCGCTTTCTAAACACAAGCTGTACAGCCCTGCACAGCAAAAGGTGGTGGGAACCTGACCAATTCAATTGTCCATTGAATTGAGCAATGTTGGGATGAAGCCCCTTAAGTTGCTAGTTCCTTTATTTAAAGATAAAAGTCAAACTGAGTTATATCTCCTGCTAACATTTACTTTCTTTCTGTTTCTTCTTCAATGTTATTTTGCTCTGTGTGGATGCTTTTGGCAAATAAGGCACCTCTGCCCCCCCCTAGAAAAGAAAGTTTTCGGAAAGCAAGAGTAACTAATCACAAGAACGAAATTAACCTCCAGGCAGTAACAACTGGTCCAGCTAAGCACCTTCCCACAGATACTGCCTATTACGCTAACGAGAAGTCTGTCCAGAAGACAATGTCTTCTCAAATATCTAACACAAGTGTGTCCTATGCACAAAAAATCATTAAACCACTGACTTCAATCTCCAGTGCAGGCACAAGCACAGTAGCTGATATTAGTACTACTCTCCATCAAGGCCAAAGGCAACAGTCTCAAAAACGTAGGGTATCTACCCTGAAATTAACCCGGACACGTGACCCAGCGAGTAGCGTTCATTGTAATACACAGCAACAGCTCAAGCCTGTTGAAGTGCCAGTATTTCCACAAAGGCCTGTCTCACCTGCCTGTAACCCCGTGCCTGAGATACACACAGCATCTCTTTCCATTCAGATAGCTCCCATCCCTGACAATAAAGCAGAGCCTGAAATCCAAGAACATCCACCTAGTATTTCTCCAGACACTTCAAAGATGTCTTCAAAGGATTTGGGACAAAAGTCTACAGTTCTTCCTTCTTCACAGGCTGCAGAATGCCGTGTGGTATATTTAATTTTTCCATCCTTTATTTTAGATCATTCATGAATCACTTAATAACCCTCTGTTTAGTTATACTTACATTATCAAAGTTAGACCTTGTGTTTTCTGGGTAAAACTACCTGTCATATGGATCAAAAGAGAACTGAACAAAACCTGAAGTTTTTGGAAGGGTATTGGAAAAAAAAAAAAAAACACAAAACCCAGCTGAGCTGGAAGGTAGACTTCTTTGTTCCTCTGTGAGCACTTTATGGAGTTCAAATGCACAATAGGAAATTAGTGAATTGTAGGTGATGCATCTGCTTAAGTGGCTCTTCCTAGAGGGGCTTGCATTAAAGCTTTATGCTGCCATAGGTGCTGGAAGGATCAAGTATGGATAGAAAAGGGTTGGGTTGGGGGGGTTCTACAAATGCAGCTCTGCCAGTTTGCTAGGGCCACCAAAAAATACATTTTCTCAGTCGGTGTTTTCTGCAAGGCTAGTCACTGCTGTTTCCTATGTGTCCTGTGCAATAGCGCTTTTTAAAGAAAATGGGTTGATTAAATCTTTTGTCAACCACCTCTACATGAAGTATCACAAGGCACTGAACTTTTAAGTCCCTCTGTTTCCCCTATACCCTATGCCTACTGAGATGAAAATTCTTTGTTAACTATACTGATCTCATCTATGAGAAAAGGGAGCATTAAGCACACAGTATAGGACCAGAGGAGTCTGAGCAGGGTTTATCGCCATTCAGAAAGTTGCTGAGTCAAATAAAATAAGCCTGGGAGCAATAAAGCAGCAGCAGATACATACTAGGCAAAAGGAGAGCTCTGAATAAACTTTGTCATTTCTACTCTGCTTTACCTAGTCACGTTAAGAATTTTCTATTCAAAAAGTTAATTATTCTAGTATATCTACCAATATACCAGCTTATCTGAGTTTGAAAGCCCTTCGGTTGGAGGTAGGGATTGCTATAGGTCTAGGCATATCTACCTCAAAGCTTTGTCTGAGCAAGGATCCCATCGTGGTGTATTGGTGTCCATCTAGTTCTGCTGAAATCAGTGGGGCTACTCTGAAGTAAATACGGCACAATCTTGCAAACTTAAAGTCCATTGACAGCCCTATTGTCAATAGTAGTAACACATCTGCTCTCTCAGTCTGTGGTTCTTTCAGAGCATCACATTCAACCAGGTCTTTATTCTGGAAGCCACAAATATCTGAATTAGCTACAGGATAGTTTTACAAGTTGTAATATGCCAATTCCCCCCTTCAACTCCCAAGTAAAAATTTTGATCAGAACAAAGCTCTGTGAAATTATATGGCAACAATTTGCAATGCTTCTTTTGAATTTACTCCATTAACAAATGGGAGCACAGAAGAATTGATCACGTTTGTCCTCCTTAAGATTAGAGACAAAACTATCATCTTAAACCCTTCTATTAGGCTACATAAAATTTAGAACATTTTGAGAAAAACAAGTTGCTTTAACCTTGAGAAGAAGTTTCCTACTTAGTGATTTTTGTCAAGTAGAACGAGTCAGTTCAAGCAAGAGCCACAGTAAATAAATTATGTCAGATACAGTAATGAAGACTGAGCAAGAGCTTTTTCTGGTAGATAGGGTAGGTATGCAGATTATAGGAGGCAGGCTTGCAAGCCTTTTAAATATGGGCATCAAGGGATACGGTCAGACAGTAGAACAGGTGTAGGTGTGGCCAATACAATTTATGCGTCTATGTTTTCCTTTCACTTAAAAATAATTGCTCTGCCTGTTAGCAATATGATGCATTATATATGCTCAGATAAATCAAAAGTGTCTCTCAAACAGAAAGTAGTTTTATGACAGCTAACAAGAATTAGGGGAAATACCTTTTTTATGATCCAGAATAATACTCAAACTGTAATCAGAATGACTAAAAAGAATTCTAGCTACTTTTTTTTAGAATTTTAAAAGTCAAAACACATTTTTGCAATTTCTTTTTATTTTAGAATCTGTTTTAGTTTCACTATGAGCTGACAAAAGTCAGAAAAGTCACTGTGATTTGTTTGGCAATCCTACACTTATTTTTCTGCCTTCTCCTTGGTTTCAGTGTGTGGGAAGAATGATCAGAAATTTGGCAAATGGGCTTCTTTGAATAAAATGATTAAAATTTCAGTTGATCACAGGGATCATTAAGGAATGTAGCCAACTTTTCAAACTGCATCCATTTATTGATCTCTTCCTTGCAAAATTCAGCTGACATCCTCCTTGATGTTCAACTTTGAAATAAATTCTAAACATTAGTATGAAGAGGTGTATCTGGCATCTCAATCGAGTCATGGAGCCAGGGGGTTTTGCTAGCTCTATGTTAAAATACATGCCTAAAACTAGAGTACAAACCAGCATGTGAGGTGGTGCAAAATTCTGCAGCAGGTGAGGTCCCAAAGCCAAGATGCCATGGGCTACAGTTAGAAATAAAGGCTACAGCTATATGTCTAAAAATATTTCTTTTCCGACTCAGATCTCTGGTTGAAATCTTGGAACTGTTCTAATGCCAAAAATTATTATCCCCTTTAGCTCTCTATCTCATGGTATTTGCAAAGTTCACAATTTCTCTCACATAGACAAATTAACTTTCAGTATATTACGCATGATAGTACTTACATTTTTAAAATTGTTTTAGATTTGCAAGCTCTACAGGACTTTGTACACCAGTTAAAATACTTTTATATATGCAGATCATAGGTTGTTATGTTAAGCTATATCCTCTAGGGATGCTCTCAGACTGTAGATTAGGCCCACCAGCAATGTTCAAAGCTGCCACAGAAACTCTCAAAACCCAAATACATTTAGAAAGGCGCTGTAAAAACAAACAACTGTCCCTCTGCATCTGGGTTTATGTATGTGGAAGAGAATGAGGTAAGATTGGCTAATCATCACTTCTTAAGAGGTGGTGAATGAGAAATTCTGTGCATGTGTGGGTATCTATGTGTGTAGGGAACACGTACAACTATATTATGTCACAAAGTATGGAAAAATACAGCCAAGAGAGAGCTTGTATGGTCCAAGTTCATGCACAACAATTTTGCAGTATTTTTTAATGTATCTTGTTATGTTTGTGCTCCTATTTGCACTTCGTTTCAGAGCTTATCTGCTGAAACTCTAGGAGCAAGCAGAAGTGTGGTATGACTCTCCAAGTGACATTTTGTAAACACTCCTACTCAGAGAAAGGTTAAACCCCTTAAAAGTATATATGAAAAGAGAAGCATTCAAGTTACTCAATATTAGGTTTTTTACATTATTACAGTCTCGAGAGATGCTGCTGCTCTGTACCATACTGCAGGTATGGGAGAAATAACCTAATCTATTTCAAAAGAGAAATTAGTATTTCTTAGTATGAGACCGATGGAGGTAAATTCTGTTGTCCAAATTTCTTATAAGAAAAAGTTCTAAACTGATGAAGAATTCTGAGCTGCATCTTCTGAAATAAACACCTGGTATTTTTATGTTCATTTTGTTCCTGGGTTCATAAGTGTCCTCTTGTTCTAGATACTGCTCTCTAAAACTGAGGATGCAAAACATTTGCCCTGTTTGTTTGAATTCCACAGATGAGTGAACACTTGGTTTAGTCCTGGTGTCCTGGAGGAATAGAAACTACTATAGCAGATGTTTATGAAAGTGTTTCTTTTGCCAGCCTTATAGCTGTAGACAAGTCAATCAAGGAAAATAAGCCTGGAATTCAAAAAATTGTTTCTGAATCGGTTTGTCTAATACATTACTGTTCGCTAGGTATTGACAATACATTGAGTGATGCAGAAGGGAGAGAAGAAGGTTTCAATGTTTCGGGGACAGACGGCAAGCAAAGAAAATTGAGCACATAATTTTCATTTTAAGTTCTGTATCACTAGTGTGGTTTTGCATAATGGCTGAACTCCACCTCCTTATACTGAGTTTAGAATAAGAGGGCTAGGCAGTAAAAATGGGCATAGGAATACAACTTGTAGCATCAGTTTGGAGATTTTGACATCAGCTTTCAACGATTAAAAATAGAGGTATTTTTACCCATTTGTGCAAGTGTATGGGTGTAATTTGATTGTTGACTACTAAACTCTGCTATGTATTAACAAAATGAGTTTATTCACTTATCTCTGAGTCTCCTTATCTGTGTCTTGACTGTTGAAGCAAGGCCAGCACTTTGGTGTCATTAGTAACCTCGCACCACTGCCCACAGATCTTGCATTAAAATGATAGATGACTGGTTTTGAAACCCATACTAGGGTCACCTGTCTACTTCACGTGAATTGGGTAGCAACTGTATTCTTCAGGCCTGACGTTTTACTATCTGATGGAAAGTGAACATTTCTAAGGACCAGCAGAAAGCTGCGCTTGAGACCTTCAATTCACTTCAAGACTGTGATGACGTTTATCTCTCTCTATCAAGTGTTGCTCCACAACCCAAGATAATTATGTAGTCTAACTTGTTTTTCATCAATCTAATTGATTAAGTACTTGTTTGGCATTTAATCCATCTGACTTCTGCTAGCGTTTCTTGTGCTATAACAATAACAAACCTAATCTGAAGCACACTGAATGGAACTGGTATTAAAAGTTTTCTGGAATGCATTCAGCCATATACTTCTCATATTTTTCACAGTGATGAAAAATATGGGTTAGTAGTAGCCAAACGTATCTGTTTAGAGTTTATCAACACTTCATGTTTTTTAAATTATTTTCAAAAATAATGCTGTTTTAAATCACCATTTCAGCCACTCTTTCCCAGGGTGATGGATGTACCTATGACAGAATTCTAGAACCAGGCAAAATATTCAAGTTTTACTCTACAAAGCTGAGAAGCTTCATGTTGGGAGTCAGTACCTAGAATTGCTGCATTCCTTCTACCCACATTGTATGAATGATAACTCTATATTCTTTTTAAGAATTTGGCTTGATGAAATCAGCTATTATTTGCCAAACACAATGAATTTAATTCTTTAAGAACTCAATTTCACTAGCTCTCTGGATGCACCCTGAGTATCTGTTCTTGTGTTGTCCATCCCTTCTTTTCTCAAGCATGCAGGCAGTCTTCTCAGTTTGAAGCCAAAAGGCTTACTAGGTTTCTCAAGTCTCCAAAATTTCCTGTTACTTTAACAATTTAGAGATCAATTTACATATTTTGGCTCAGTCATATGTAACTTTTCTTCTGGGGATGCTCAGAGGATATCTGGTCTCAAGAACTTCAGAGCTTCATATTGGCTCTGCCTGATAATTGCATTATGATCTCCTGGTTCATGTCTTTTGCTGGAAATCTTGAATTATGACATGGATGATGAAATTCATCATGAATGATGGTTCTGTCTTCCTTTTATGTATCTGTGAGGTGAAATTACTGTTTCTTACATGTGTACGTATATGCACGCATCTTAAACCCCGATATACTATGCTGTATAACTGGCTGTTTCACATCAATTGCATTATGATCTCCTGGTTCATGTCTTTTGCTGGAAATCTTGAATTATGACATGGATGATGAAATTCATCATGAATGATGGTTCTGTCTTCCTTTTATGTATCTGTGAGGTGAAATTACTGTTTCTTACATGTGTACGTATATGCACGCATCTTAAACCCCGATATACTATGCTGTATAACTGGCTGTTTCACATCTGCATATGATTGAATCTGAAATGTTTAATAGTATTCCATTGTTCTTTTGAAGTTTCCATTGGCAAATTAGTTATCTCTAAAACTCATATCTCCTTTTACAGTCATACACTCAATTATTGATTTTCTGATTAAGAAGTAATCTGTTCAGATTTACTCTATGGAAAGATTTTTTTTTCAGTTGTAGATTTGAAACATTGCTGTGAATAAGAGTGGGATTTTAAGCTGTTTGACTAAGTTTCTTCACTGTTTTAACTGCAGATTTTAACAGCAGCTTCTGGCTATTTTTGTGTATCCCAGAGGTCCAGTAATGCCAAAGAGTTCTTTTGAACCATTTGGAACAAGTGATGGATATCTGTTCACATACTTAAGGTTCTTTTCTGAAATGCTTATTCATAGGGATGGTCCCATTGACCTCAGTAAGGTTATTTGTGTAAATTCCAGTTGATCTCAGCAAGAATTATGGAACTGGACCCCAGTGACTTCTCATAAGTAGCACAACCTGGGTTGTGTTCCAAGTCTTCCATAAGGGCTTTAGAAGATATTTTCAGATTTTGGATTAAAATGCCAAAATGGCATTTTAATCTGATGGCTTGAAACATTTTTTGAAAGATTAAAGACATCTGCCTATTCTGAGCATAGGAAATAACCATAATATTATTGGTAACAATGTGATATCTATGAGTAAATGTTGCTTTTTTTAAGTAGTAATTACTGCATATGGTATCTTACTGTCCTCTATTTTACATAAATTTAAAATCCCAAACACTCTTTCCCTGCAGCTATTCCAGAGTTCCTCAGCCCTATCAAAAGTGAAACCATTAGTGCTGAAGTAGGCAGTATTTTGACGTACTTCAGGAATTGATTGAAAGCTTGTGGCTAATAGGCAGTATAGAAGGACTTGTGCAGCTGTTTAACAAAGATTGGATGCCAACATGCTTTTCATGTATCTTTAATTCAAAAAGAAGTTACAGATGCAAAAAGCCAGTTTCAGGACTAGTTTAAACCCAGTGTCCTGTGTCTGGTTTGCAATAACAGAACATAAGCTCATACGTTGTGTGGCAGTTTCCAGAAGCACTCTCATGAGGACCTTCCCTTATACTTTTAAGGAATTATGCTGAAGCCAAACAATTAGCGTGTTTTGTTTCAGTACGAAGTCATCCCTGTCCTGTTCTTGTGCTCCCAATCTTTTTTGTTCCTCAGATTTATACCAGTTATCCTAACACTCCTTGTGTCCTCTAATGTTGAAAAGACTCCTATGCGTGCACCTTATGCAGTAGGCTGACAGGGTGCTTCCAGGGTGCTTGGAAATTCTAAGATCATCCAAACATTTTTATTAGAGAGGCAGTGGAGAAGATGTATTCAGTCACAAGAGGCAAAAAAGTCCACAACCTATTGCTTGCAGATCATATGAATATTCAATATTAGTGTTCCCATTTAGCTTGCAGTCCTGCCCATCTGTATATTACAGTTAATTTCAAAATGATACCTGTCCTTTGACACAAAAGAGAGCAACATTTACAGAAATCAGACTTGCAGATCCTTTTTTCCTTTTACAAACAAAATGAACATGGCGTTCTCTAGCCTCATATTTATGTGAAGTATAAAATAGTGTGAACCTTCTCGATGCACAACTGATTTCATTAATATATGCAGTACATTATGAGTATTCATCCCCAGCACACTATGGTTTCTGGCATTGCTTCCGCTAGTATTTGATGCATTCATTTCTTTCATGTTTTCCTACTTTAATATAGAGCGTGGTTGATTTATTTCCTAATCCATGTGAATGTGAACTTCCTCGGGCTGCTGAAAAACTTACGCTTTTGTAATTCTCCTACACACAGCAAGAGGCAAAGGGAAAAGTTTTTTATTCATTTGGTAATCTGTTTCTTTTCTTATTTTTTTTCCTCAAATCTCAGCTTGGAAACCAGAAAGTAACTGCCCCTGTGATGGAGGTAAATGCTTCACAGACACACAGACAAACAGCAACAGAAGCTTCTCCACTGCCTCTTCCTCCTCCTGTGGTACCAGTTAACAGAGCCTCTTTCTCACCAGACAGTGGCACCCATCTAGTACCATGTTCTTTGCCAACGCTTGATGATTTTTTGCCTTCACGCTTTTACAAAACCCCAGCCCTTTCACAATTTTCATATAAATGCCCATACCTAGCTTCTGAAAGTATTATCCGCAGGAACGAAACAGCCTCTGTAAGCACAGATTCTGCCATGAGTGAGTGCTCCTCCCGCACAGTGAGTGAGTCCTCCACAGCCATTCTAGATGAGCTGCAGACTTGTAGCTATGATACTACTGACTGCTCTGAAACACCTTCCCCAACCTTGAGCCAGATGTCTGCTGTGTCAGATGGCACCACCTTAACCAACACTGCTGCCACTTCTCATGTAATTATGCTTCCTTTTTTCCTCCTCCATTTTGTTCAAACAGGTTGTCAGAGGGGAAAGGAATTCAAACTTGTCTGTTATCCCGTTACACAGACAAGTATTCCATTAGTAGTTTTCTGCGTTCGCAGTCTGACAGTATGTTTTGCAACAGTTGTTTAAAAAAAATCATTGGCGTAGCAGATTTGGTAATAGGAAAATGATGCTAACTTGTTGCACAGTTGCATGGTCAGTTAAGGTGTATCAAACACTTTGCTTAAAATAATTGAAAATAGATTCAATAAATATCTGTTCCAAATGCATTAAAAGCAAGCGGTCTGTAGAGTTTGAAGAGGTTTATTTAAAATATTGTTAGCAATGTACAGGTTTGTGGAGTTTATAGCCTCTGGGCTACCGCCATTTTTGGTTTATACTGAGGTACAGATTTCAATAATATAACTTCTAAATTCATAGTAAATGTTGGCAATATTTAACACAGTTTTTTCCCCAGCCATGACCACTGACTGCACAAAACTGTTTTTCTCTCCTCTAACTAACCTTTTCCTCTCCTAAGCACAGTTTCTTACAGGAGTGAACTTCATAAATAATCTTGTAGTACCCAAGTGTTCTGTTACTTTTCTCTTGGTTAAGTCAAGGAAAAAACCAGCATGCAATTAGACATTTTGTACGTACATTCACTTTTCTGTGCCTTAGTACACTCATATATGGGTAGAAAGAAGGTATGGAATTTGGGTCAAATCCAGATCACTTCTGATTTCTTTTGAGATTATCTGCATGATTAAAATGAGTCAGAACAAAGCCTTCATTTAAATTGAGCAACTCATTGCTGACTTACAAAACAGAGAGATGTTCCGAGACCATTTTGTACGTACATTCACTTTTCTGTGCCTTAGTACACTCATATATGGGTAGAAAGAAGGTATGGAATTTGGGTCAAATCCAGATCACTTCTGATTTCTTTTGAGATTATCTGCATGATTAAAATGAGTCAGAACAAAGCCTTCATTTAAATTGAGCAACTCATTGCTGACTTACAAAACAGAGAGATGTTCCGAGACCAAAGTTTCACTGGGTGACAACAGCATTCAAACTTTGTACAAATATTTCAGCATGCTATCATTTTCAAGTCTGAAAAGAACAAATGGTGTATATATTTATAAAGTTTCATGTATATTTTATAAAAACTGTTTTGAGCCCAAACTTGCACCTAGTCACCTGGAAGGTCAACGATCTGTTGTCAGTGCTCTGGATGCTGTTAAAAAAATAATATTAATAACAGGCATGTAAAAGCTGTCATTCCTAACTCTTGTAACACAGCTCTGAAACCTTTTTTTTTTTTTTTTTGTAAAAGAATCAGTACTGTGAATCTGCATACGGCCCAGTAGTTGTAACCAAAGATACCATAATCAATATAGACTGGTACGTGTAAATAAGGCACAATCACTACATGACCGTTTACTAGCTATGGGAAGAATGCAACATTTATATTTTCTTCTCACCTACTTCTAAAATAATCAGCTAACTGTATTTGTTTTCTTTGAGCACCATTTTTGTAAGCTAAAGTGAACAGTCCTTCCTTCTTTCCTTTTTTGGGTAGTCTCCCTGTAGAGGGATATATTATGGTCAGGTCTGACCACCACTTTCTCTCTTAGACATGGCAGGGATGAGCATAGCAGTTGTTCACCATTAATGGACGAAGAGAAAGGATGAGTCTTCCACCAAAGGACAAAAATCTCCAAACAGTCCTAAGAGCCCCACAGAAATTAAACTGCTGGCAAGACCCACCTCTGCAGTGCAGAAAAGTCTTCATCTCCCATCCTCTGTAGAGGAGGGCCAGATGACTATAAATGTATCCGTGGAATGAGAAAATGATGGGGAAGTTGGTGGCCCACACACGTGTGCTGCTAGTGGCTCTACTCCTGTAATGATCTCCATTCTCAAAGGAAACTCCTGTTGGTTTTGTAGATGAAAACCGCCGAGAGAACAATAAAAGTAATACAGGACTGTGCCATCCAGCACTGTGCCCGCATAAGACAGAACCACGTTTTCAAAGATACTATGTCCACATTGGGGATGTTTGTTTATTCTTGAGGTCCTTAATGAGAGCTTAGGCAAAAAGATTTTACTAGCAGATCTTCTGAGAAGAAGAAACAGCATCAGGAAGAGCTGAATCAACAAAATTGTAAAATATTCCAGGCAAAAGGCAGAGCTAAACATAAAACTGTGGTTAATTGGCCATACTTTTAGTCACAGATTACAGCTTCTTTGAAAACCTGAAGTGTGAGAATTGTAAGTCCTATTTGGGCTTATGCTTAGAACTGGAGTTAAAATGGGAGAACAGCTGGTTTTGGAAACTCTTTTTTCTGATTCTATTTCAATTATGAACATTTCCCATATAAAGTAATTTTTATGGGTTCTTTTTGTTTATGTAGTTTAAAATTGTGGAATCTAATGGAAACTTGGAAATGGAAGTACACATTAGATTTTGCCTTTTCCCAGGTTCCAGGACTGTCTCGAGCTTCAATAATTGATCCTGAGTATTTCAGCCTAATTCAGTGTCTTGAGGCCAGGGGTGTGCTGTGCAGCATTGTCGCACAAAACTGCTCAGACATCCATAATGGGACCTCTTTCCCTTTGCTGCCTGCCTCAGCAGAGAGAAAGTTAGAAAGCAGCTCCAATCCCAAATAGATGCTTTTCTCTGCTCTGATTCAGAAGTCCAGAGAGCTGCTCTTTCTGATGCTCAGGCAAATTAAATGAAGTTTAAACCTGGTATCTAGGAGGAATCTTTACAAGAGTTTGATTACCTAGCAGCAGAAGTAGGTGTCTTTGCTAGTAGCGGAGCACAGGTAAAGTATACTGGAGAAGATAATAAATGGAGGAGCCTAGGGAAACGAACAGCATGAAAGAGATGGGGATTATCTTCCCAATAAGCTGGGAAATAGGTGCATTTTGGTGAAAGAGTTATTTTCTGTATCATCTTATTTTCCCACAAAGGAGATTACCTAAGAAAGTAAAAGGTCTAATTCACGAATAGGCATCTTAAAGATTTCACTTCCTTGTAAAATCTGGGAACAAACTCTGTCACCTGGAACTAAAGCATCACATTCTCAGATTGAAACGTCAATAGCTCCCAAATGATTCCAAGGGCAGGAAAAGGCCCTTGGAACTTGAAACTTCGCAAAACTGTCTTTTATAGCTAACCCTCTCACCAGTGCAAGATGCATCAGATAAACAAATGCAATAGCCACCTTCACGGAAACTTTCCTCAAAGAGAAGGTCATTAGGAACTAAGAAATTACAGCTGAGCTGATATCCTCTCTAAAACCTTTAGAAGCAAACCCAAAAATGTCATATATGGACATGCCACATATACATTTATGACTGATGTCCGTCAGCGACTTGTGTGGTTCCTGTTTTCATAATATTGTGTACTACTTAGTGTAAGAGCCTTACTGTCTAACCCAGCTATTTGGTAAAGCCCATCACAGGAATATCTTAATTTTTTATTAGAAATTCATAGGCGTAGCTTTCCAGTCTACAAAGAACTCACACTAGTTCTGCTCCTCTCTTCCGAGAAACAAAAGCCATGGTAAATGAGTAAGAAGGTGTAAGGTTCCAGACATAGTTGCACCCTGCCTTCCTTAGAAACAAGCTTTCCCAAAAAGACAATATGCAGGAAAAGAGAACGGGCGAACCCCTGAAGTAGGGTAGAGATGGCTGGCCTCATCTAGGAACCTCAGCTGAAAACATGGCTTCGTACCTCTTGAAATGCTATCTTTGAGCTCATGTAGCTTTTGTATTCTTACTGCTCCAAGTTCTTTTGGAAGGGAGGATGGTGTGAGAAAAGCCAACTTAGTTTACATTTTGGTTCTTGACTTTATTAAGAGAGGAAACATTTAAACACAAAAGTTTTAATGGAGACATCACCACAACACAAACTTTACAGCTCAGTTCTGAAAACGGGCATCCTTAAAATGAAAAACCCCTGAATGCATCTGGGAGTTCACATGCTGTCTGCATAGGAGCCAGAATTTGTTTTGCTCTCTTAGCTATTGGAGGCCGAGACATTAAAAATTTCAAATCAAATCAGTAATCTCCAAAATACAAATGTATACAAGAGGTCGTGAACCATTTCATTTTTAAATGCAAAAATAATATGCCTTTTAATACATTTTTTACTTATGCTTTGCTGCTTCAGATAGTCTCATGTTTTACATTTACAGCACGTTTTAGTTCTTCTCTTTTGTTACATAAGATCAAAGTTTGTAGCACTTCTGATTTTGTTCAGATTTAAAGAAGAGTTCTGCATTAAAAGAGATGTTACAGAGAGCTTCGCTCCCTTTTCTGCTGAAGTATTCACTACCCTCTCTTTTCATTCAATGCTTTCTCAATATTTCTGTTTTGATCCTTGCAATACTCCCCATAGAAGTGCTACAGCCCAGATGTGGGGATTCTAAACGTGGGGGCAGGGAAGCAGATTGTTTCAGAAGTACCTCTTGTGACTAAAGCCTAAATGGCTTGTGATGCTGCTATACTGCCAGTTTACTTAGCTTTCCCATTTTTTTGATTTTTTCTGTTGTTTTGTGGTTGTGGGGTTTTTTATTGGTGCTATTTAGTTTTATTGTGATAGATTACATATCAGCATCCCATAGTCACTCCAGCTGGCTTGCATTTTTTAGAGAAGCCTTGGCTCACTCTCTTTAGCTAGTCTTAATGAGACTTCTCCCTTCGGTCTGCACAGAAGTTCCCATTAATATCAATAGGGCTTGAGCATGTGCATTAAGGGAATATGTCTCTTGGAGTGAGTGATCTGTGGCAGGCAGTCTTTGTCACACAACGAGAGGAACTTCTGCTGCCATCTTCATTTTATATTGCTGTCAGACCTCTGCAGACCTTTGTGCCATCTTTGTTGCCTTGACCGTGGTCTTTCTGTCACCTCCCCATGACTTCAGCATGCTTCACAGACAAGGAGAGAAGGGGGGGAGGTGCAAGGTATATAAGGAACACATTCTGCTCCCCTTGTGATGAGTTTTGTGTTTCAGTGAATGCAGATGCCATTATGGCTAGGTACCTGACAACTGGTAATTGTTGCTTGGATGAGTCTTGCATCACTCGTTGTTTGGGATGGCAGTCAGAGGGCTTTGTGTGTCGTTTAATGGGATATTGTTTTGTTTCTCTCAGGCTCAGATCACAGTGAATGGGAACTCTGGCACTGCTGCCAGCCCAGTGAGTCACTTTCAAAGGCCTTTTTCCCCTTCTTCAGCTTACCCTCCACCAGCTTCGCTCAATTCCAACATTGTTATCATGCAGCATGGCAGGATGATGGGTAAGCCTCACACAGAATGTTTGCTTTATACATTACGCAACGTATTCCAGTTCATGTTGCAAAGATTGCAAACAATTGCAGAGTGCTTCACATCCATAATGAAGGTATTGTCTATTCATCTACCTTGGGAAGTAAATGCAAAAAGATAATAGCATTTATTGCTAGATACAGTAGTGATCCTGAACTGGAGTTACTATTAAATTTTATTACTTATGTGTGTGAGAATGACCTCTTGCCACCTTTCTACTAGCTTTACCGAGGAAGGAGCATATATCAAAAAAACTCAACCTGTGCAGCCCCTTCAGGTTTTGCCTTCTTTAAGAAACCAAGGGCCAACTTTGTACATTGGTTCTCCCCACAACTCTCATAATCTTCATTAGAAATACCGCCAACAAAGGGTGGGGCTCTGGGCTTTTAAACACCTAAAGCCATGTCAATCTGTAATTTGTTTATGTATTTTTTTGTAGGGCGTTGTTAATTTTTATTTTAAAAATAGATGATCAGCCTTAGAAAGGAGCTTTGCCAGTATAATCCAGTTTTGCCAGAACAATCATTTGCTTGCTGCTTTTTCTACCAGTGTTTTGCATATTCAGATAAGACTATAGATGCAAAATAATTTGAATGTGATCCTGGAGTTTACTTTTTTGTTGTGCATGCAGGGAAATTAGGTGACAGTTCTTGCTCTGAGACTTACAGCTTAGACAAATGCTGCTATCCCTAGCATAGTGATAAGTACAAAAACTGTATATATGGGTTTCTCCACATCCCAGAATTCTAGATTCTTTGATTGCTTCCAGTTTGCTGATCTAAAGGCCTATCAATTCTGTTTTGGATATACCTGAAATAAGTAAAGTGTTCTCCCATGACTTTTGCTCTTGTATGATGCTGAAGTTCTGTGTTCCACAGTAACAGCCTGATTTAATTCTCCTTGCTCATGTAAAAATCCCACTGATGGCCTCAGTTTGAGGCTTATGAAGAATGAAGGATCAAATCCAAATTGTTTTCTAAATTTAACATCATGCATTTTGGGAAAAAGGCCCAAATATTCAGACGTTTGCCACGCAGAGTTGCCCCTCGCCATATATGTGTAGCACTGGATTATTTACAGGATTTCAAACTTGAGTAAACAGCTGAAACAGCCATGCCAAAACCAGCTCTCTGCAGTAGGAGTGAGCAGAAATATTCAAATTAAAATTAGAGCTTTTAGTCACCAGAGCTCCTTTTGCTGATTTATATTACAATTCAAATATTTTGCTTCAGAAGAATCAACAGATGTTAATGTCACACAAAAGGCAATTGTAATCTTCACCAGTAGTGTTAGAATATTTATTTTTGCTCCTTACATTCATTTATCCTGCTGTGAATATTGCAAGTCACCACAAACCAATAACAGCCTGCACAGTTCAACTGAAGTATTGTAGGTGGATCATCAGATTGCTCTACGGGTGCCAAGTTACTGAGGTCCATTTTTATGGATTATATGTAGAGGCACTTAAACATACCAACATAACTTTAAGGGGCAAAAATTATACATCAGAATGTGTTTTTTAAAAATATTCATGCATCAAAACAATGTTTCTAAACACATATCACATAAGTCTTTGTGGAGGGCTGATTGGAATCTGTTGCTGTGCTTACAGAAGAGCAATTTTCTACATTTTGCTAGATTTTGGGGGGGAGAAGTTTCGAAATTATATCACTAGTTTCAAAGAATGGATAGGAAAGGTGCAAGGGTTTGATTTATAAGAAGGTGGCTGCTGCCACTATTTCTCAATAGATTTTTCTGAGTTTGTGGGTTTTTTCTTTTTGTTTATAAGCAAGATGCTGTGAAAAAGTGCCTCTAATCTAAGAAGATCTGAGTTGAATAGCCCAGCTGTGAAAAAGTGCCTCTAATCTAAGAAGTTGAATAACCCGTCTAGTCCTTAAATAAGTTTATAATTCTGTTAATGTAACATTAAGTAGGGCAAAGCCCCAGCTAAGAGGATTTTTTTTAAGTGCTGTATGTGTATGTGGTTAAGATTTTTGTCACTCTTTGTACAGCATACTGAAATGGGGAAGCGTGTTATAACTGCCAAGTATGATTATTGTATCGTTATACAATATTCCGTCATGTTATCTTTGCAGAGTCCACAGAGACATACTCACAGCATGTTCAGACTGTTGGCAGCACCACCACCACCAGTACAATACCAATCTGTAGATCCTCAGAAGAAGAAAAAAAAATTACAGTCATTAAAGCTCCACATTATGCAGGGATTGGCCCGGTAGATGAATCTGGAATCCCCACGGCAATTAGAACGGTAGGAAATTCTGGGGAATCTGTGTATGAACTCATACAATGAATTGATTGTTGGTAATGGGTTTTTCACATTCTTCTAGTCTTATATAATGCGGAATACAGTGTGCGTAATCAGCGAGCTCATGAATATAATATTGTGTGTTGACGGAAAAGGAGAATGCTGATGGGAGCATAATTGGGCAACCTCATGTTTCTAGTTTTAATTAGAAGTAGCCAAAACTTTGTGTCTCTTTCTTGCTTCTCTTGCAGTTCTTGCCTTCTGGAGATATGCAGTAATTGCATTTGTTCTGTCATTTCTAAAATAAAGTTTATACATACTATATATATGCGTGCATGTAAGTATACATATATACATATGTGTGTGTGTATATATGTAGAATCTCACCCTTCTGCATTTTGAGGGACGGTGGTTCTCCTGTCATCAGGGTAGTGTAGAAATGAATAGTTTCGTTCTGATAATAATCTAAGTGACTAGTATTTTTGTGGAAGTGCAATATATAATCATTGTGCCCTTGTGTGACACGTAAACGAACAGCGTGGAAGCCCTTTCATTGTGACTAGCCCGGTTTTGATCCTCTGCCACTAGTCGCTGCTTGAGTGGTCCCAGGATGTCGAACTGAAGAGTTTTGTTTTCACTGTGCTGAAGCATTCTTTCCACTCTGCTGTCAGGGCAGCCTCTTCTGGCTGGTCCAGAGAGCCCAGTGGCAGCTGCACTAGGTCTGTAAAGGAAGCGCGTACTGGCCTTCCCAGCCGGAGGAGAAGTGCTGTGCTAGTCGGAGAAAGAGTAAGAAGAGTGGGAGCCAGGATGAAAGCGGCAGAGCCCTTGCAGGTGAAGTCTTTGTGAGGTGCAAGGATGTAGCAGCTGTTGGATGTATGCTCTCCGCCAGTACTGACATACAGGGCTGTGTTGTAATTGCCAAGAACTGCTTCAATGGATTGAAAAATTAGGGGGAAAATCAGGAACTGATGGAGAAAAGCAATAGGAAAAAATCAGAATAAGTGGTAAGATGGGGACAATTTTGATAAGAATGGGGGGGAAACTCTGGCATTTCTTGCTTTATTTTTTGACATAAAAAGCAATACGATCGAAATCTTTTAAAAATGAAGAATTTCTGTGCAGCAATGCTCTAGCTTCCTACCCCTTTTTTAAGTAAATATGTCCCTATGCTTTATATAGGATAAAGTAATTATTTGTGTTCTTTTTTTTAATAGCAGATTGACCTAATAGGGTGCATATCAGTTATACAAGATTATAACAGAAATCCCCCTCAAGTGTGCTTAATAGAGTTGGCAATCTGCCAACCTATATTTAACTTTCAGATCGTATGGTCTGAGTCTCTCAGATTTTCCGCTAAAAACATAATGTAATTTTAATTAGGACATTTTTCAGCTGGATTTGCTCTGTTTCTTGTTATGTTTCAATTTAAAAGTATCTTACAGCTTGTAAACTTAGTATTATAGAAATGATTCTCACAATGAAATACGAGTTAAAAGATTATGCTAGCATGTGTGTGGGGGTGTGTGTCTTGTGTGCCACTTTGTGTCCTTATTCTGCTTTCTTAGGACTTAGCTGGAAGGGAGATTGTTTTCAAGATATTGATTTGAGATTACATTTTAAAAGTGCACGAGTATACTTGAGCCCCGTGTACCCCAGTCGCGTAAGAACAAAGGTGATATAGTTGTCAGCAAAAAACTCAAATATGCTGCCCCTTGACACCTCTCAGAAGTGCAGTACTATGCAGAAACATGCAAAAGTGCTATAACTGTGTTTCTCGTGAAGAGTAGAAGGTGGGCTCTATCACCTGCTCTTTCCCCAAGGTCAGTGAGCAATCCAAATCGGAATCTTCTCCCAGAAAGTTCAGCCTCACTCCATCTGGAGAGAGAAAGAAGTTTTCAGATTAGTTGAGTTTATCGTTGCGTGCAAAGTTTAAAAGTTTTTTATTCTTCCATCTTTAAGAAAATGGCAACAGTCTATCAAAAAAGCAGTAAATGCAGATTCACGGGGGATAGGTAACATACACACTGTGTTCCAAAACACTATGCTACTCAATGGTAAGCTTGTAAATAAGAACTTGGGAGTATCTGTATTCCAAATTTGGAGTGCTTTTCAGGAGTAAAGAGATTTTTCAAGCTGTGGTTATCTCCTCCAAATCTGTCTTTACTCCCAGAACATGGTTTGTGACAGCTGTTTAGCCAAGGAAAGCGGAGTGATGTTCTCTTCTCTTTCTATTCCTGCAAACCCTCTCTGTCCAAAGCTGCTGAGAGGGGAAGGATTCCTATAAAGTTTTCCCTTCTCTCAGCACCTCCATCCGATGTTAGCATGTTCCCTCCACACCACTTTAGCTCCTGCCAGCTCTGGGAAGTGCAAGTCTGAAGCCTGAAAATCCAGATCATTGTTAAGTTCTGCCACCGTGCCAAGCCCTGCCCCAAAGATGGTGAAATTCCAAGGCAGTAAAAATGAAGTCTTTGGAAAAGAGAGAGTAAAATGCTGTTCACTCAGAAAAGCATTCAGTCAAGTGGCACCACCAGAGTTTACCACCGACAGGGTCCTAGGAAAGGCAAAAACAGATTCATGGAAAGCAGTATGGCTGCACTGTTTTAGACTATCCAAAATGATTGCTTCATGTCCATCAAAATTAATCTGTAGACTGAAAAGGCCTCCATTTACTAAGAATGAAAAAAAAATCAAGGCCCACCAGATTTCTTTTCCATACTTAGTGATGTAATATTTCAGCTAGAAAAAAAACCCAACAGAAGGTAATAAATGCCTCCTTTAATTGCATACTTCCTGATGGATTATTAGAATACTGCAGTGATTATGGACTCTCCTAAGTACCAACTGCAGGTACTTTTTATGTCCTCTTCACACTCTGGCTGATTGTTCATTCACATATGTTGATACCGTGTTCCAACATTTAATTGCAACAACTATAATGTATGCAAAGCAGGATGGCATCTGAATGGCTTGGTGCATTGTGAATTCTGCTATTTCCTGAAACAGATGTTGGTATGTGGGATTACTGAATATAAATTGAGAAAATGTATTTTTAAATGAATTTATTCTATTCCTTTACTAGTCCTATCTGGCTTATAATGTAAAGCCAAATTATTGGCTGAGGCTTTAAACCCCTGGGTGGGGGTTTCGGGGGGAGATGATGAGAGAAAAATGTTCAAATGTCCAGAAAGATGTTGGGAGACCTTCTTCTCTGGTCACATGGGAGCTTCTCCATACCTGATCTCTCTGTGGAAGCCTCCTGTGGATTTGTGGAGGACCTGACTGATAAGGAAGACCCGGCAAAGAGATATCTATGCACCTTTGTCCCTTGACAAACAGTAGGGTCATAGCAGTAATATTTATGCACTGTTTCCAATCTATTCACCTATCACCAATTCAAGCTCTGTTGGAAGACTCTTTTTGGCCCAATACAATCAGAAAGGCGGTTGTGGCGTCATGGGACCATTGCAGGTTTGTATTGCTGTGGGAAATGAGGAGTACCACGGAGGTTGTACCCATCAGCATGAATTCCTTCAGACCAGTCCAGAAGGACTTCCTTGTATTGCTGTGGGAAATGAGGAGTACCACGGAGGTTGTACCCATCAGCATGAATTCCTTCAGACCTTCTGGACTTCCTTGTAAACTTTTGAACATACATGATCTTGGAGCACCAAATAGCATACTTGTTTCAAATCCAGCTAAATTATTCTTACCAGAGTTCCGCTAGTATAGGTGTTTAATACCTTTAGGGAAACAATGTGAAAATGGTCCAAATCTGCTTCTGAATATCTTCTCGTTGGCAGAAGTCAGGAATGTTGGTAGGGACCTGATCTTGATACAAAACTGTATCTCCTTCATATGTATCTTGCAAGCAGGTCTGGGTAAAAAGCATAACCTGCTGCTTAAATTTCTGTCTTCCTCAGCAGATCCCCGAGTTCTTCAGTTGACTGTCAGCTCTTCTTTTAAACAAATTTTTTTTAAAATGTCATTTAGTAGCAATTTTATGAGAACTCATATTGATTCCTCAAAATATGGGAGCATTTTCTGCCTAGTCCCTTATAGTAAGAGTTCACCATGTTAACAAAACAGATCAATTATGTACAGTAACTGTAACAAGTATTTAGGGCAAAAGTGTGATTCACTAAAGATGGCATGGAGCCAGGTGAACACACTCAGATCTGTGGGTTATTTTGTAGAGAATTTGTGGATTTTCACTTTTCATGGTAAAGAGGAGTGGGCAGAGTGATTGCAGACTTAGTATTAGCTAATGCAAGATAATGCACATCAAGAGGAGTCTTTTGAATTCTCCCTGTGCACCATGAGGTTTGAAGATAATTTTATACATCTGCATTAAGACTTTGCTTTTCTGACTACTGTGGAACAAGTAAAATTTTAGGACCTAAGAAGAATAATACTGAAAACGCATTTGCCTTTCTATTATCTCCTTTTCTGAAATACTATCATTCTATCTCAAAGAAAATTCAGCAAAAGAGAAAATGCAGAAGGGTAAGAGAGAAAAATAATTAGAAGCACGAGCAAATGTTGATATGAGGAGAGTTTGGGAACTTTGGGATTGCTTAGTCTACAAAAGTAAGGATAAGTCTAATTTAATGAGTGGTTATTGTGTTCACTTTTCTCAAAATAACTTAAAATTAAGTTGCCTGGAAAGGGAATTTAAAACTGATAAAAGGAAATACTGTTTGTTTACAGTCCAAACATTAACTCTTAAATATAGTGTTGTCTTAATTCTTTTCTCTGTAATATTCCAAAGTTTTTTTGCATTATTTAACAGTTACATTTTGTACATATTTTAAGTTGAAAATTGCCAGGAGTTCAAAAGAAGCTCTTCTTACACGCTTGTAATTGCTGAGGTGTTTGTATTTTCATGTAGCATTCATCGTTGTCAAATATAGGCCACTAAGAAGATAAACTCTTGATCTGGCAGTAATTCATATGTTCCTAACCATCGTACCCTCCAAGATCAGAGTCCAAAATTGACTCAGTCTTCAGTGTCTTCCAGAACTTGTTACAGGAATTCCTAGATGAAAAGCAAAAATACACCATTTGAAATAGATGGTATGAAAATGATTATATTAAATAGGGTACAAAACATAATAGACTTTGTGTCCAGAATAACATTAAATGTCTGATCAGATCTGTACATATTTTTATTTTTTTGTTAATTGTTAAAAACTGTATTTTATTTAGACAGTTGACAGGCCGAAGGATTGGTACAAGACAATGTTCAAGCAAATCCATATGGTTCATAAGCCTGGTAAGTATGCTTTTGTCTTGGCTGGGTGGTTCTCAGTCGTATTAAAAAATGCACTTTTCTGCATTTTGATTGTCTGCCATGTGAAAATACAAGCGTTCACCGAGTGTCAGATAATGAATCAAATCAAACGGGTAAATTCAATGATAGATTTTACTGTAGCGAGCGCTATTTTCCTCTGCTAAAGGCTGAAAATTTCTAATAGGTTTATTTTATTACTAAAACTAAATAAAAATTGAAGTGATTAGGATAGGTATGCAATCAATATGATTCCATGTCACTGGGGAGCTCAGTGAAGTGATCCTCATCTCCAGTTTGAGGGATGAGAAGTTGGCCACTGTAAATCTCCTACCATACCAGGTTTCTTACGGAGAGCTCGTGTGTTAGAACAGCATGGGCTAGTAAACAGGCTGTTTTGAGGATACATTTTCTGTCTGAATTGCATCTTTTTCATAGAATGTTTTATTTGGTTCTGCTGACATGGAGCTTTGGTGACATTACTAGCTTTAGAGTTAACGTCCTTTATCATGGTCGCCACCAAGGATGTCAAGAAACTTTATAAATGACAATTATGCTCATTACACCTCTGGCAAGAAGGAGACTTTATTCATCTGAGGTAGAGCTTGCATTCAGTATGGTCACACAGAATGTTAGTGGGAGAATAAAAAATGTAAGCAGGAAAATTTTGGCTTACGAGGTCTATTTTGCACACTAGTCACATAGCAGATATTTGAGGTTGCTTTTTGTGATAGGAACAGCAACTTAATAGTCTCTAGTAGAGGAGAGCTGACAAAAGGAAGAAATTGAGCTTGGGGAAGGGAGAAGAACAGACAAAAAGCTATAATTTGCAATTCGGTGCTAACCAGTAAGTACACAATATGGGTGATATGACCAGAAGATACCATTTTACCAATAAGATGGTAAAAGTAGCCTATGGTAAGTATAATGGGAAGAGAGAGTCTTCAGAAAACGCCTATGAGAGGAGGAAAAGAAATACAGTGCTTGATTGCCTACCAATCTTCTGTTTGTATTTGCAAAAACAAAGCTGCATTGCTGTGATAAACTGGCACGTATTGCACTACTGTAACATGTATATTTCTTTTTGTAGATGACGACACAGACTTGTATAATACTGCATATGCATACAGTACTGGTAGGAATTATTCCCTCACTTCAAAATGAGTCTTTTATTAATGTCAGCAAGTAACAGGGGTAGTTAACTGTTCATGCTTGCTTTTATAATGCTTATATAAACACTTTGTATTGTCTTGTTTGATCCCAGTTGGTGTTTTTTCATGCCTTTTTTCCCAAATGAAACAAAGTTTAATTTTGGTTTCATTCTTACCACAGAAATGAATTGCAGCTGTGGGCCTCTTACTGCAGATGGGATACACTGTAATACTGTAGTTTCTTGATTACATTGCATTTATTTTCACTAGTGATTGTGAGCAGCCTTTCCTTATCAATATGAAAAGGGAACTACTGTGTGAAAGTACAAATGCTAATTACTGACATGGGAAGACAGAAAGGTTGTACTGAAAACACCTTTTAAAATATGCAGTAAGAGTGCCTAATAAAGATGATTCTGTTTTATGATCTTGTTCATTTTCGCTATAGACACTGGTGTTGGCGTTACTTAGCTGCAAGACAAACATATTCATCTAAGATATATAATTGTTGTGTCTTTCAGAAGCTTATAACCATGTGGCAAAATTTTTACAAAACAAAAATGAAAGGGTGAATAGACTATATGTGCAAAAAACCCATAGAGCCTTGTGCAAAAATGCCATTCAAAACTCTTCCATTTCAGTGTTTGTTGCATTGACATGCTCTCATACTTCCTTTTTCTGTACTGGTGAGAGTATTTGTTGTGGGTCAGTTGTTTGAGATCTGTTTGGACTCTTGTGATCCTCTTCAAGATACACTATTGCCTAGTTGTCCCAGACTAACAGTAATTATTACAAAAATGAAAAAAAGTGCATTTCCAGCCTCTTCTCTTCCTTCTGAACACAGAACAACTGAGAGGCAGGATGAGCCTGGGGATTAATTACAGGTTGTCCTTAACAGCTCTGATGGATATATACAGCCATTAACTTCTCCCCTCCTCAAATTAATCATTAATTTATTTTAACTATACTGCACTTTATCTGTGTGTTTGTAGTTCTATATAGAAATATATAAAAAGTATTCTAATGAGCTACATAGTATGCAGCAACGTACTTTTAAAAATGCATTTACACATTTTCGTAACCTCGCAGCTTTATTGAGTAACTGTGGGCTCTTGTAGCATTCTGTGTTGTGTTTTATTAAAACTCATCCTCATGCTGTGACTATTTCTGGTTTTGTTTTATGTTAGGTAGCTACAGCCCATCCTTCTCTGCTCAGGCGCACCCAGCTGCAAAGACGCAGACATACAGACCATTGTCTAAAAGCGCTTCTGAAGGTAGCTCCGATGCCTTTAAGGTCTCATCCCCTTTACCACCTCCACATGTGCCACCTCCAGTGCCACCACATCGCCTGAGGGAAAGGCCTACACCAGAAAAGTAAGTTAGCATGTTTTCAAAAAGTCTTCTTGGTATGTACAGTAATCCAATTACAGGATATCACAAAGGTTAAAATAGCAGCTATAGAATAATATGACTTCAAGGGCTTTATTCAAGGGACAGTCAGGTGATGAGGGGTAATCTTCATCAGTAGTGTGGGCATCACGCGTGGTGCTGCCATTTCTTCAACATGCTAAAGAAGTGCTTATTCTTACAAGTGATACCACCATGAGCATTTAAGATTTTCATTCTCATTAGTGGGATCGTCCTGCTTATTGTGTTTCAGAACAATCTGTGCTCTAGCAGCTGTCTTGAATAGTTAGTCTCTGAGTAGGAAAGGCTATTTATGGTATCCAATAGCAAAGAGAAAGGATCTAAAAGATGTTGTAAATTGAAATTCAAGGAAGAGCAAAACTGTAAGAGTGTAGCAGTCAACCCACGTTTCCCCAGAGCTCAGAAGTGCTTTATTTCCCCATTTTTTCAATCTCCATCTCTATTTTGGTAGACCAAGAAGGTGTTTACAGATTAAAGGGGCATTTCAGATTTCTCATGGTTTTCCAGCTTCAAACTTGCTGCACAAAACCAGATCCCAGTGGTTAGAGTCCTGTCTGGACAAGGTTAATACTTAATAACTCGGGAAAGAAATGCTTATCCTTCTGATAAAACCATGCAAAGTGCCCTGCACACAAACTATAGACTCTTCAGCATATCTGTAGCTACTAGTTCAAGCAAAAAGCTTTTTCTTTAGTGTTTACATTCATGAATACTACATGTTAATATAATATTATGTTATTATACATTTATATGTGTGTATGTATATGTTATTATACATTTATATGTGTGTGTATGTATATATTTTATATATGAAAAGGGTCATTTTTTGTTCCATTTGTGGCTACAAGCCCGCCTCTCTTGGTTACACTTAAGCAACAAAACAGAATTTGCCCATTTTTGTCAGCTTGGACATTGTAAACATTTTTATATATAGAAATTTAATTATCTTAAACAGTTTCAAATAATTTGCAGATTGAATAAAATATTATGAGAAAAGACCATACTAAGTGTTTGAAGTTGACTATGACTATGGCTTTTTGAAATTTATAGTGGCAATCCAAAAGGTAATCCAGCAGATGCACATATTGCAGAGGAAAATGAGATTGCTCGATGGTTACTGATTTTGGCTACTCCTGTTGCTGAGGGCAGGTTGTCAAGAGGAAATGCTAGGGGTTGGAGTTGGCCTACCTCCCAAAGGCCATGAGGTTTGAATTTTGTAGGCAAGTCATACAGAAGTGTAGATTTTCTTAGCAAGGCACCAAAACGTGGATCTTCTTAGCTTTGATCTCTGAAGTTATGTGAGTCATCATCCTGTGCTAGGCCAAATGCCTTGGTCACAGAAACTGAGGCCTGTTGCAGTTCCTTTTGTCAAGCTTGAAAATAACTGCTTCAGCACTGAATTTGGATGTTTAGCCTCTCCTTTTAATCTTCTGCATGATAGGACAGGCAGTGGAAATCTGCATTCTCCAGGCCAGGGGATGCCAAACATGTTAGTTATGCTTTGCCTGCTGCTGACAGCTATAGCTCGTCAATCTTTTCCTGTCATTGGGAGATTCTTTTTTTAATTGCCTATAAAGCCTGAGTATTTAAAATCTCACATAAGAGGCTTAGGTCCACATGTTTCACCGTTTCATGGCTGGGAGGCAAGATATGGTTTGCATTAACAGTTGGGCTCAAAAATGTAGTCCAGAAGGGATTATAGGCTAAACGCTGTAAATGAAGTGAACTGAGTGTGACTCAGAATTTCAGTAGCATCCTTTTTTCTTCAGTGACTTGCAGTATAATGCAACTTGATCAGAACATTTCCATTTTCCTGTTCGTTCTCAAAAAATACCTTTTCTGCTCTGAACTAATTTTTTCCTCAGTGAAAATAAACGATAGAGCCATGTAGAACTACTTCCCTTGAAATGTAGGGCATTTTATAAATAGAGGTGTCTGTGTCCCAGAAATTGCACTCACAAACATACTGTAAACAAAAGCTACCCCATAGATTTTTTTAAGGCACGTGACACGTGCCTTATTATGTCAGGTCACATCAAACCAACTCACATCAGAAAGGCTGATAGAACTGATGGAATTTAATCAGTGTATGCTCTTTCTTATTGTAAATACAGACAATAGCTGATAGGATTTCCCCTTTCCTTTCCCCCATTCTTTGAGTTACTCACAGGTCATTTTACACAGAGATAAATAAAAAGATGTGTGAGCTACAGTTTTCCAAATGCAATGTAGAATCATAGAATCACAGAATCATTAAGGTTGGAAAAGACCTCTACACCCGTTGTGGGGGGGTAGAAAAAAAAACCTGCCATGAAAAGGTAGCTCTCACTGTGATAGTAACTAGCTAACTATCCCCCAAAAATGTATAGGTAGCTATTAATATAATGTGGTAAATGACCATAAAAATATAGTAGTAGGAGTTACTTTTTATTCTTTGCATAGCACTATTAAATTGAAAGCAGCTTTATAATTATAGAGAAAATGGATAAATTTCTGTTCCCAAGTCAACTGCCAAATTCTTGTTCTTGTTTATCTATTCAAATTTCCAAGGAAACAGTATACTGCTTACAAGGATATTCAAGAGCAGTTCTACTACAGATCAGGACAAAGATCATCTATTAGATTTTCTCACTGTCTTTTAAAATAATTCCTCATTTTTTGACTCAGAAAATTTTGTAACATTTTCAATATGGACTTAATATCATATTGTGTGATGGCAAAAATATCTACCACTTGCCTATATTAGTATAGTGCATAAAACAAGTATAGTGGATTTGCGGTTTGAGAAGGCATGTCATGGTATTTTGACACGAGTACATCAGGGAAGTTTTTAAACTGGTCTACCGGTTATAACAAAAGCATGAGTGATCACATAGGCTGGACATCTCTAGTAGTCTTCCTGCTGTACTGACTATACCTGCTGTAAACAGGTTAAGATGATACAGTGGTTAAAGCATTGGGATGCTAGGCCAGACATTTCACAACTGAAATCTGGAAAGAGAAGCCACGCTGAAATTCATTTGGTTTTGCACGTTTCTCTTGCACGGAGCTGTAAAGCAGATGGCGATGACAGTAAATTAACTCAATTGCTCGTATTTGTTATTTAGAAATGACTGGGATCCCCCTGACAGAAAGGTAGATACCCGCAAGTTCCGTTCTGAACCAAGAAGTATTTTTGAATATGAGCCGGGAAAGTCATCAATCCTTGAACATGAAAGACCGGTAAGACACATAAGTGAAATGGGTAGTACAGTAAAGAGCTTTGGTGAGAGGTCATCTTTTTATTATTTACTACTGATTATAACTACTTAGATGACTATTGAAGGTCCTTTTTCAAATATGATTTTGCAGCAATTTGTCTTTGCTCTTTCCTGATGGTTGTGTTGAAAATGTGAGTTTGGCTTATTTGCTAAACTTAGATCTTTTGGTATTTCCAAGAAATCAAACCACCACTGTGCAAACCTAATGGATGATGAGCAGAACTATGAATTAATGGAAGCTGCTTTTTCTAATTGGCAGGCATCTCCAGCGCTCATTTTCAGTAGTATTAACAGCACATATGATATCTGATTAATTAATGCATAAAAATAAACTATTTGCAATTTCAGGATGTGCCTAATTGTACACTTAAGGAGATTTTGGTCAAATAGTGGTCAAGTTGCCCCAGAGAGGCTGTTTTTCTAATTGGCAGGCATCTCCAGCGCTCATTTTCAGTAGTATTAACAGCACATATGATATCTGATTAATTAATGCATAAAAATAAACTATTTGCAATTTCAGGATGTGCCTAATTGTACACTTAAGGAGATTTTGGTCAAATAGTGGTCAAGGTTGCCCAGAGAGGCTGTGGAATCTCCATTTCTGGAGGTTTTCAGGACTCACCTGGACACAGCCCTGAGCAACCTGATCTGATTAGACCTGCTTTTAGCAGGAGGTTGGACTAGATGACCTCTGGAGGTCCTTTCCAGCCTCAATTACTCTGTGATTACTGAGTGTACATTAACGTGTAATTAGAAGTCTTTATTCCCGCTTTCTGAATAATGATTGCAATTGTGGAATTTTTCACAAGCATGTCTGATAAAGCTACACTTAGTGCATGCAAAATGACCGTTAACAGAAGTTTTCATTTGCTGTAAGAGACATTCACCCAGCCTTTCTAATTTACCTTTGTGCTATCGCAATACTTTCTTATTTTAGGAAAACTGTTATGCATCAATGGCAATATTTTCTTTTCTTGGGCTTTTACTTTGAGGTTGGAATGGTTGAGGGAGTCCAGTTTTAAAGAAGGGGTTTATGTAATCAATACCGGATTATTATTTGCTTCTGTGTTACATGCTTGTTCACAGAATTTATTTTACAAATTTAAAATAAATTAAGCAAATAATTGAATTCCAGAATATGTAGTATGTGTGCAACACCTGTACTAAGCACCTTTCCCTTGTGTTTTTGTGGTCTTTGCAGGAATATAATTTTTGTGAGCTAGAAACTACTAAGCTGTGTTTCTGTGAAATTAAGTTCTTGCAGAACTGATGCATTTTTCAAAGAGGAAACTGGTGTTTCTATATGAACTGCTAATCAATCAATATAATTGAATGGGATTTAGTATTTATTGTGAAGCTAAACTTAACAAATAATTTTATTTAAAAGGTGATGGCATTTGTTCTGAGCACTTTTTTGATTGCTATGGCTGCGTTATACACACTGAGGTCATTTACCGGCCTTCCCAATGCCAAAGAATAACAGCAAATTCGAGTTAAAAATAAGAAAATTACAGTGATGTTTCAAGAATGGCCTCACTTTTCTAATAAATTACATTTTCTACTAATGTAATGTGAAAAAAATAATTCATATAGGAATTGCAGTGCTGATGAATATGATCACAGATACAATTTTTCAATTTTAGCGAACTAATGAAATCACAAAAAAGTGAGCTTTGCTTACTGTTCCTGAAGCCTTTTTTTTAACTTGCTTATGCATTTTATTTTTGATGTTCTCAATCAAGAGGTTGGATTTTGAGCTTTGTTTGGTCCTTAAAATATTTTCTTGCAGAAAAGCCTTAGTCACGTTGTACTTAGCAGCATCAGTCAAGGGCAAGATCACACTTTATCATCTGAGGCTTAGACTAGAAGTTTAGACTTAGCTGATGTAAATACAAGGAAACCTCTGTGTAGAATAAATTTTAAAAGCTGAGGAAATAATATTCATGGACAGAATGGAGAGATTTTTTATTTATGTATGATTCAAAGCTGTAAAAGATGGGAAAACAGGAATTAATGTAGAACACAAGAGGTGAAAGTTGTGCTAACACTAGTGTAACGTTATCAACTGATATAAAAATAGTTGAAGTGAGCTATCACAGTTTTATCAGTCTATAATTTCTGCTGTTGATAAAGATGATGTTTAGCTTTATGTATTTAGACACTTCCTTTGGACCACATTACAAAAAGAAAAAGATTTGGTTTCACTAAAGCATTTGCTTTCCTTGTTTTCATTGAATGGGATAGGGAAAGCAAAACTCATGACTTGTTAAAGGATGATCATCAGAGTAGGTCAAAATGTTTTTCTGTGTGTCTAGGAAAAGCTGACATCTGAAAACAAAGCATTAGTTCCAAAGTTAGATGAAAACTCCAAATTCTCAACTGTGTCAGTATTGCGTGAGTTAAGTCTTTCATCTTGATAATCTTAAAAAATCTGATTTTTGATGTCTGAAAAATTGTTCTGATGATACTGAAAGAAAATATTAATCAAAATATGGAATATGAAAATAAATATAGTTCGTTAATATTGTAAAAGATGGACATTTATAGCATCTGAACTAGAAATTCTTACTTTATTAGTTTTGCCAAAACCAAAAAAGTCAAAGGGATTTTCTCCAGCACTCTAAATCTTAAAAATTTTAGCTGAAATTAAATCATTTCCATGTCTACAGGATTGCAGTTTTGATGGCAAAATAATCTGGAAAAAAAAAAAATATTTACAGCAACCTTATATGATAATAAACAGGGCAGATGAGGTTTGAAATATCAGCATTCCCTTTATTGATGTAGGTTTGCTTTTACCTTCTATTCAAGTAGTTTGGGAGATACTTTGTAAGACCAAGCCAAGTTCAGTTTTTTAAGTCAAAATTATTTGTTCATTTTAAGTCTCCTAGAAAGGGAGATAATATAAAAAGGTCCATCAGCAAAATTGAATCTGAAAGCCAAGCGAAATCAATTGCCCATGTATTGATCTTGGTAGCACAGGGAATGCAGAGTCCTCACTAGAACTGCCAGGCAGCAGTGAACTTGCAGACCTTAGTGCTCAGTTTCTTTTTGTTTGCTGCCCTCTGTGGTTCAAGCTGTAAATAAAAGTAGGACTTGTGTGCATGGAATTAGCTTTACACACTTTCATGCTCTCATTTTATTTGCACACTACTACATGAGGAGAACTCAAAAACTTAGAAACTACATAAAATACACTATTTCTAGCTTTTTCTTTACAAGAAGAAATGTGGGGGGTTTTAAGCTTTCAACTAATTGTAAGGGTATTTGAAGATAAAAGGGGAGCCAGCTCCCATTCTCATTTTTTCTCTCCTTGGCTAGTTGGGTGGAAGCCCAGCTTGTCTGACGGTGTGTTCTGGCTCCCTCCCTGCAAGAAGGGGCACCAGTCCACCAATGTGTAGGTGAGAGGCTGCTGCTATTCAGGCAACTTGGAGGCCCACAAGGGTGGCACTGGCTACCCAAGCAAGTAATGTCAGTAGGCCTGGATTTGTAGTGCCAACAGCTCCACAATTTCCACACCATATGCATTTCAAGGGATTGATTTATGTATTTTATGTAGATGCACCCGATTGTTGATATTAGCATTGCTGTCTGTGACAATTAATTCATTGGTATAATATAAAGATGAAAACATGCTATAAATATTTCAACATACCGAAACTTAGTTTGGGGAAATGATGAAAAAGAAATTGTTTATTACTGTCTTCTCAGATAATCCAGATCTAAATTGTGGATTTTTTTTTTTTAAGGTAAGCAAAAAACACTGAATATGCCAAGCATTCTCTGTAATGGGAATCAAGTTGATATATAATGAAGTTATCATCTTCTGCATTGTGAATCTGTCATTTTTTGCCCTCATGCCTTCATCTCTCTGTAGAAGAGAATCACGTCTTTTTTCTTAAATCAGTTATAGTCTCTATTAAGGTCACAAATCTTTACTGGTCAGTTCATGAAACTAATTTCAGTGGTGTTTTTCTACTAAAGACTTAGTATGTATAGTTGAATTGAAACAGTTGTCATTAGTAGTGCTGAATTATGGCTGTGGATGGTGGAGCTGTAAGGGCAAAACTCCAGAGCAGCTTCACTTCCTAAGCCTGCTATGGAGCACAGCAAGTTGTTCATCACTGGCATTCACTTCCCACTCTGTTCGCAGGAATAATACTTCCTTTACTTGAAAGGGACATTGTGAAGATAAATCTGTAAAACAACAGTTGGTGTCCAGATATTGCATGAACAGCTCATAGGTATGTGAGCACCAAGGTAGTTCAAAAGGGCTGTTGACCTTTCAATAGAGCAAAATTGGCAGTCCGTTCCAGTAACATCAAAGGCAGCAAGAAAAGTGCCGTAAGAAGTTTAATTACCTGAAATGGTCAAGAGCACGGTGTTATCTCTTGCAGAAAACAGAAATAGCTGTGTGTGATTGCTCTGGGGTGTTGGTGACAGCTTGACTCGGGAGGAAAAAGTGTTACATACTTAATCACCAGTATCATTCTTTATGCAGGACTCTGTCTTCTGCTTTCTAGGTCACACCGTAATTAGTGTCTAAGTTCTGATAATTACAGTTGTGGAGGACTAAATTTTGAATTCAGAAATATTTTTAACAAGAGGCTTTCTCTGTTTCAGAGATCCTTAAGCCAACAGTTCACTATAATTCTGTGCTGCATGACAGCTTACATCAGATCCTACAAAGGAACTGAAGCTATTTAGAAAATAATTAATGCAGCCAAGTTTACAGTTGATTAGATATCCCATTGGGAGCTCTACTGTTTTGCACTGTCATGTTTTCATGCTACTTGAATAAATCTGTCAATTATTCTTCTGTTCATTGAAAAATTTTCTTAATGCTATCTTCAATTGCTACTTTATCCCTTTGCTGTGAGAATTTTCAGATGAAAACAATGTATTTCACTGTGGAAAAAAAAGCTTCATTATGTCAACAAGGCTGTGGGAGATAAAGCATTATAAAATACTGCTAAAACGAATATTATGGAATGTATAATTTTTTGTTCCCTATTTTTCACCATAGGATTTAAAATATACCAGTTCCATTTTATATGCTGAAGTGGCTTTTTAATATAGTCACGCCTGCATGATGCATATTGATAATCTCTGCTCAGCACTTGCTTCAAGACAGCAAGATCCAGAATTAACAATGCTTTGTGAGAAGACAAGGAATGACCAAAAGCAATACTGATAAAATTATGTCTTTATTGCTGATCAGATGGGCAATTTCTTGCCTATGCTGAAGATGTCGGTCATTTAAACCATCTTCTTAACAAGAAATCTTTAGTAGCACTAAATGTACTTAAGTAATGCCGTGATGTTTACAGAAGTGGTCAAAGAGCCCTCTTAGCTTTAAAAGAGTAATTTTAAAATGTTCTTCCAGTCATTGGAAGAACAGCAACAAAAAGAAAAGTATTAAAGCTACCAGCCAATGACAGCTCTTGAACAAGAATATTCTCTATCTGTCTTAGATACCATCTTCATTCTTTGATTTTATTCCATTCCTTTCCCCATATTTGTTTTGTGTTTGTGTGTGTTTGTTGTTAAAGTGACATGGCATTTCTAGCACTTTGCTCAGTGTGTGCCTTTTCCTTCCCTTTTACTTCACAACTGCTCCAGACTGATCGCATAAACCCAGATGACATAGATTTAGAAAACGAACCCTGGTATAAATTCTTTTCAGAACTGGAGTTTGGACGTCCGGTAAGTGAGGACAGAATATTAATATTTAAACATTAGGAACAATATTTTTATAATGAGGAATTTACAAATTACCAAATTCAGCAAACATATGCCAGTAAAGTTAATATGGGTTTTTTTGAGAAAGGTCAATAAAGTCATCTCATGCATATAACTATTATTTTTCAAGTGGACCCTTAACTTGCCAGAGTAATGGCTTTAATAGCCTTAATACAGACTACATATTAGACAAGTAGTAGTGTGTAAATATTTAAGAACAAGACAAATCGCATGTTATGCAGGGATGTTTACTAGTCTCCCTAAATCTTTTGCATTTGGCTGGATTATTTTTGAACAATCTTTCAGAACAGAAAAACATGTCAGTTTGCATTAGGGATGCTAAATTGGAAATCATTGAAGGAATGTGTCTACATTTAAATGCACACAGCCATATACAAATTGCTGACGGCAGTAAGTACTGATATTTTTTCCTTTTTTTCCTCTCTTATATGCATACATGCAGAATACATATTTTGTACCTGAACACAGAGATACAGGTTTGCTCTGTTTTCAAGCTTGGACACCTGCTTGAACAAACAGACTTCAGTTCTGCTCCGATTTTCACAAACAGCCAGGTCCAGAAAAAGGACTCAGGCATAACAGATGCTACCTTAGTCCTACTGCGAGCATTTATGTTTAAAATTACAAACCTGAAAAGCTCCATTTGGTTGAAACACCTAAACGTCAGATGTACGCAGTTTTTCCCCTTTGGTTGCCTAGGCACTCGCAATTCTTCTCCAAATACCACCGGCTTAATTGGATGTAGGCACCAAAGGCTGTTTATAGCTTTTATACAAGGATAAAACAGTAATGTTGTCCTCGAAGCAAGACTGACAACTAGGTCTCACTTCCTCCCTGCACAGTGCCTTAATGACTAGGCTGGAGATGCACCTGCTCTTGCTTTTGCACACACCCTCTCTGGCTCCGTGGAGCTCAAATTCTTTCCTGTACGCTCTAACATCTTTAGGAAAAAGGATAACAAATGTCTTCATCCCGGAAGAATGTCTAACACGGTGGTTAGAGTACTTTCCAGACAGGTGGAAGATGCGAGTTCAAATCCCCTCAGAAAAAGGAAGGAAGTAAACCCAAGCATTCCCTCAGTCTGGTTAAGTATTCCCACAGCTCCCCAGGATCCTGGGCAGCTTGAGGACAAAAACCAAAAGCACCTGCCCACAGGCAGGAAATCCCAAAGAGAGATGGCATTTGAGCGTGAGAGTATCAGGATTTAAAACATTCCCATTCTTATCTTTCCCTGTTAGCTAGCAATTCTCTGGAGCCCCCCTCGGCATGCTAATTACTGACATGCCGGGCTACAGGAGGAGCCTGAGCACTTGACACAGGGCCCTGGCGGGCACTCTGGGAACCAGGCACCTTAGTCCCTTTTTGTAGCTAGCTGTAAGCCAAAATCAGAACTCCCAGCTACTTCAGTGGGAGCAGAAGAGAAAGCAAACCACACACATTCTTTTAAAACTTTAATTTTTTTGATCATAACATTTAAAAAAATTACCCATTGAATACCACCTGAAAATAATAATAAAAAAAGTTAAATATATCTGGGTTTAATTTGTTGTCCAGTGGTCTATAATGTATCACATTTTCACTGATTACCTTTTATCTCCTTTTATCTAGCCATTCAAGCATTTTGTCATTCCTCCCTCTAGGTGGGCAGAAACAGTCCAGATACGTTCTTCTGATGAACAATATGTCAACAATATTTTACTGATAATGATAACCTGAGAATAGTGTCTCCCGTAAGATAAAGTATATCGAGATTTCCCCAGCAGAACATAACTGTGATGCTTTACTCTCTTCTGTCTCATCAGTAGTAAAAACTGCTAGTATTGGTTCAACCATTCCTGTTGTAAATTTTACCACCTGAAGTTACTAACATTTTATTAAGATGCTTATAATTTAAAAAATATTGTAACACATTTCTTCCTTCCATTCTACCCATATGTGTCACTCTTTGTATCTGACGTTGTCAACACTCAGTTTCTAACTGTGTCACCTTCTCCACATGTTTCATTCCTTGCTGCCATTGATTCTACTCCATTTCATCTCTACACTTCTGCTTTTATGATGCAGCCACCTAAAAAGCTTTTGGACTATGTTCAAGACAGTTCTTCTGGTGTTTCCAATGAGGTAAATGAATGATTCTTGTTCAGATGATTCTCTTGGGAAGAAGGGTTGGAGTGCTCGCCGTTTGTGTCTTAAGTTTGTTAAAATGTAGTGGTTTTCTTCTGACAGCTGTGAGACATTTCTAATTCACAATCATTGTATCTTTGTCTTCATATCTTTCCAGATCACTAGTGCATTTGGATGTTGATCTTATTATCCTAGGAACTGTGAGTCTGTATCCCCAAAACTTCTCAGAGATTAACACTCAGAATTACACAACAGCCCATACGTCTCTAACTCTTTGACAAATTCCCACTTCTTCAGAGTTGGGCAACTGCATTGCTTTCAGACACAATTAATACACCAGCACAGTAGTATTTTTTAATTAAAATACCTGACTGCAAATTCTACATGTCAAGTGAAAGCCTTTGTGGCTAAGCTATCATTTCTCCAATTAAGTATTTATGACTAAGGTTGCTAATCAGGAAATACAGCAATTAATAATCCTGTTGTAAATTTATAACTGCAGGATTGGCAGTCACTGTCGTTACTGCAAATAAAATGCATGAAGATCAGGTGGTGGGCTGTCATTGCCCTACTCTGAGTGGGAGAGATTCAGGCTTTGATTCCTTCTCCCTTCCCTCCCCATTTTTAGAGTGTTAGGGCAAAAGTCAGTGAATCCTGTAATGACAACTTTACTTCATATGGTGGCTTTACTTCATTCATATTTGCGATTCACTCTTATCTTCTGTAGCCTCTCCAAAAATTAAATGCAAATCGTGGCTTAAATTGTTAATTGTTTGCAAGTTACTCTGGTTTGGTTTTAAGCTCTGTAAATCTGGAAAAACCTCATGGTTGTGAAATTGGGGCCCAGTTCTCCAAGACAATAAGCTTCTAGGCCTTCACTCATACTTGAGAGTACTCTATATGTCAGAAAAGACAATTTAAAAGCCGTAGCATGATTATTTGAAATATTATCATGTTCAGTAGGCCTGGGTAAAACAGCTATTAAGTAATACTGGTTTTCTCTTTGTTTAATTTACAAAGACATTTATCTTTTATTTTGAAACTTTTTAAATCTTTGAATATGATAAATCATGTTCACAAACTACAGCAAATTAAATATTTTTCCAAGGGGGGGAATATTCCAAATAACTTGTTAAAGTATTAGAATCATCATGCAAACAAGCCTGCTTCTTGTTTACAGCTTTTGCCTACTTTTCCTAACTTCATCTTCAGTCACCATTAAAGCCTTGATGCATGAAAACAACCTAAACATTGGCTTAATTGTAAATATATATCTGGTTTTTTGAGTAGAACTGAATCAAAATATTAAACAAAGTCTGTATTTGGTAGTTTGGGGTGGTTGTCTCCAATATTTAATTGTCAGGCAGCCTTTATCCATATAGGGCAGTTTTGAATATTCTGGAAGATGCCTAATTAGCTTTGGAGATGGGGGAGTGGGGGAGATGTGTTCTCTTTGGCCACCTGGAAGTGCCTTGGAGGGATCATGGGTCAATAATGCCCCAGAGCTGATAGGACAGCTACAAACAGCGGTACCCACTCTTGGCAGTAAAACACAACCATATCCACTGTTTGCTTTCACCTTTTCCCTATGTGCCATATCAGGGCAGCCCTACCTGTGGGTAGAAGGTATAAACTCCACACAGCCTATATATGATAACGTATGCCTGTCGTAAAAATTAGTATTGTAGAATGTGCAATATACAGTATCTTTCGTATAGAAAAAACTTCAAAGAAGGCATCAAAGAAAGGGCAAAAGGGCAAGTTACATTTGAGGTGATAAGAGTATCTTAAAGGATGGAAAGCAAAAGCCATATAGTAACCCAGCAGTAAATTTTGGCATGACACACACTTCTTGCTGTCTTAGGCTGATCACTAACACACCTGGGGAATGCTGTGGATAAAGAAGTTCTCTACGGTTTGGTTTCAGTTGTGTGATTTACCCATCGCCTTCCATAGGAGGCAATGGGGATCTACAGCACCCTTGGGATTTACATCATGGTCTGTGTAGCCCTGGAGCCATTACAAGTGGTGGAAAGTAATCACTCATGGCTGTTTGGCCAGTATCATGTGGCAGATGGTCTCGGTCCAGTCTTTAATGGAAGGGGTTGGCACCTGCGCAAGAAACCCTGCAATGACAATTAATCTGCAATGTTTGTATCACCTCATGCAACAGTTCTAACAGAGATCACCTGTGAGCCCGTTTCCTTCCTCTGCTGGTACCGGACCATGGTGGTGACTGGTCAACAACGATGAGGTTGATAGTTGTGGCCAGTTTTGAAATAAGACTCTGACGTTTTCCAGAACAGGCTCAATGTGTGTTTTGTGGGTAGCGTAGGGAAGCACACAGACCTGAGGCCTTTGCTTCACGCTGTTGTATAGAAATGTGAGGAGAACTGTGGTTACACCAGCTGTTGGTGTGAGCAACTCCGCTGCTGGCTTCTACGGTTTTATTGCCGACAGAGCTCATGATATTAGATATTTATCTTAAAATCATTGAAGTTGGATAGTGATGGGAGAATTGTCATGAAGTAGTTTTCAGCTTTCAGAGGATGTAAAGAAAAACTTGAAAATATGCAGTGTATGAACAGTAAAGACTCGGGAATAAATACCTTCTTCAGAATATATTTTTAAAAACAAATACCATGATATTTTGTTTAGACAGAATAGGTTAACAGTAATGCACTCATCATGAGCCCCATACGCATTCTAAATATTGAGAAATAAAATAGGGATAATTTCCTAAGTGCTAATAGCAGGTTTATGGTCTGTCTGAGAATATCTAATCATCAGCACACCTCTATAACAGAACTGGCTCCAAGACACAGGCTTCTATTTAATCTGCCTGTGGAAAGGTGGTTTGATTCTTTACTCCTTTCCTAGAGCAGATGGTATGGTTTTGTTTCACAGTACCCCTTCTCTCTAATGTTTAAGCCCATTGACTTTATAAGCTAGGTTACAGTACTTAAAATACTTCAGTCAACAGTTATCTGTTTCTGTTCTTCATATGCAAATCCACAAATCAGTTTTTATTTTACAGTGTCATACATAGTTTGTTTATCTCCTAAGAACAATTCAATGACGATTAAAAAAAAAAAACAATCTTTGAAATCTGTGTTTTGCTAGGAAAATGAAACTTGTAAGAAATAATTTCACATTTGTTTGCAGAAAAAATAGGTTGGTTTTAGCAAATTTAGCAAATAAAAATGAGAGGCTGTGATAAAACTTGATTGTATTCCACGGTCTTGTGTACTCTCCCATCATGGAAAAAAGCGTACGTGGAGCACCACTGCACAGAAAGCCACCTGGGAAAGGGGATACATCATTGTATGAGTGAGGCAAACCTTCACTGATGGAAACACCTAACTCTGGGAGAGGCTGGGCACATGATCAGTAATGTTGGTAGTCTTCTTCCAACAGGCCGTTGCTACAGCAGACCTGCCCCACTGAGAGCGCCATCCTCCTGACATCACTGATGCACACTTCCCTGTTCCTTGAGAATGTGGGCTACGTACCACTACCTCACCTTGCTCCTCTTGGTAACAGCGTAATTCCCAGATTGTGTGAAGATCTCTCATACACAGGCTGCAAATTGCAGATCAGTGTTGCTTGAGGACACATTAATTTACAAAGAATAAACACAATAGTAATTCCTAGCAGGTGGATATATTGCTATCGACAACTATTTTAATGCCACTTTCTACTTCCTACTGTAGTGCACACACTGTGGGTTGCATGCATGTCATTGCTTACTGTAAATGAGACGCAGATGAATAGAGGAGATCGTTTCTCCTCTATTATGTTCTGGAGGTTGTATTGGATGAGCTGAAAATGACTGCATGACAAGTAGCCCTTTTTTTTTAGCATAGCACTAAAGCAATTTTTGGAGCTTTTATTTCTAGCTCCCCTCTTTCGTCCATAGCATAAGTCACTGGAGCAGAGTTGTATGTTGCCAGAACTTGAGCATCAGTTTCCACAACCTGAAAATCCATGATACAGTGCAGCAGTGGAAGGATAAGGATGAGAAAAAGAGGAAATCTATTCTTTTGGTTTCCCGTTTTATTACAAAACAAAATATTTGTCACACAGAACAATGTAGCGCATTACAACAGAATCACGTTTGTTGTTTGGAAGCCGTTTCAGAGGTTTTGGGCTAATTGAGCTCTGATGGGAACAATTTAACAGTATCCATCAGGTAAGAATTTCAGCAGCAGCAGAGAAATTGCCTCAGCTTTGCCTCTAACATGGTGACAGAATATTAAAAAAGAGGCTTTAAAATCTCGCAAAGACGCATCACTTCTAGAGCACGACTCTTAGTTAGAGGTATTACCTGAGCCTTGTATTGTTTCCATTCTGAAGAGATGCAAAGACTAGCAAGTTTAAACACGCAAACTACTAAAACAATGAAGTGGTACAATCGTCATGGTTTCATGATTTAGCCCAGTAGTTTATTTCATTTCAAAATAAATTGGAAGAAAACAGAGAAGTAGTTATAACCAAAACCTTGGGTTTCCTTTTTTCCTAGACATGTGCTTTCTTTGAGATTTCCCCCACAATGAAATGCACGTGAGAGTTTGTGGGATGAAAGCATGCCATGTTGAACTGTCCAAGATCACCAAGAAGCCTTGAAATAGGCCAGAAACAAATTCCTTCAATTACAGGCCAGTTCCTATGCTTTCTCTTGGTGAAACATCAGAGTTGCCATAACCCTGTTTGCCAACGTTACAACCCAATGTTGTTCTCAAAATTTGTTGCTTTCAAAATTTCTGTTGAAATCAAGAGGAACAAGAGCTGTGCACAAACACTGCTAATAGGATACAGCTCATACTCATAATGCTTAATCTAACAGAAATCCATGTTAGAGCTAGTTCTGCCACAGTGTTTTACAAGTTAAGCCAAATATGACTTGAGAGAAGTATCAGGAACCTAGTTCTGCCATTGCTGGTGGTCAGGTTTATGCTACTGGTTTTTGCAGTGAGCATATTCTTTATAGATCACTTATCCCAGATTTGTAATCTCACTTGAGGAGGGATTCTACTTTTGTGTTTATACAGCAAGTGATTCTGATCCAAACTGGAGCTTATGAACATAACAGTATTTAACAGTGAGAATAATAGTAGTAATAAGTAGTAACACAGAAGAAATACTTGAATACTTGTCCACAAAGCAAAGACATTTCTGTTTAGAAAAAATAAACATTTTGAAACCCTATGCAGAGATCACTTTAAATAAGTTACAGAGGACTTACTTTCTCTGGAAAGTAACTTTAAAGTCTTTGAATGATTAACATCTTTTAACTGTTTACATCTCAGCTACCATTTTTACCAAAAGCCTGAAAGTTTTTTTTTCTGATTTTTGATGTGATTTAAATTAAACTACAGTTAAAAATTACTGAGAAAATCGAAATGATCTTAGCTCAAGTTTTAGATAACATTTGATCCATATTGTATCATGTTTGTGTGTTTCTCCCTACCTCACAGTATAATAAATCTCAGTATAATCCAGAAGTCAAAACTTCAGTTAGTGTCCTGATGGGATCACTTGGTATGTGATGCAGGTCTTAAATAACGAAGCCTACTGACAAACGAGCTCTAACTGAACAATCATATTGTCTTCATAGTGCCCCACCTGTAAAAGTAGTTCAACGGTTATGCTAGAATGTCATTTAAAGTATGCAGTCTCATGAAATGTTCATAAATATTCTTAGACTACAGGTGCCTTCTAGAAGTATACGTGTCACTTTACAAATCTGGGTGAAGTCCTATTCATGCACTTGCAATTCAAATCACTGGGAAAAAAGAATACCTAACAAAAAAAGCACTTACACAGGCCATGAGTGCTATTACTTCTGTAGTCCTTCTGCACAGAGAAAAGTTTGTAAGGGTTTTTCCGTGCAGAGAAAAAGTCTAGAAGGCTTCTATGGAAAGAGAAAAATAGTTCCTGCAGCTTACGAAGCTGTATGGTAGCTCTGTTTCCGGTCCATCAGGTTAGCTCTGAAATGACATGCCAGGGACCTAAAACAAGTTTAACTTTTGAACCACATTGCTTTGTACCCATGAAGAAATACCCCAGGGACCATGCAGTTTGTTCTAAATTCATACGGCGTTACCAGAATTGTAGTATTACCTAATTCTGACTGGAGGCTTGAAATGTATGAAATGATTGATTTATAATTAGTGGTCATTTAAGGTTGACTTTACATTAATAATAAAATTATGGAGCAGTACTCCATTCCGTCTTCCAAGGTTTGTGCAGTAGCTACTACCGTAACTCCATAGGCAATAACTAATTTTCAGTGATAAGGACTGTTCTTACCAGGAATATAAGGTGGTCAACAACTGGCCACAAACATGGCATTTACAAAAGTTTCTGGCTATAATTGATTGTGGGATTTTGGTGAGTAATTCCGGGGGAGGAGAAGGTCTGCAGACCTCACTTGCGCATGAAGGAATTATTTTCAGATTTTTATGTTTTTATAATAAAAGTTCATTTCAGCTGTTTTATATCTATTTTTGAAAAGGGTATAGAGAAGCATGACTTTGGATCATTATTTGGTAGTGCTTTAAAAGAAAAAACATTACTGAAGTAGAATATGAAATGAAATCTAGTGATGCTTTTTAAAAACTGCATAACTGTTCTCATGAAATATTGCAGTATCTATGTTGGAGTACCCAGGATGTTAATCATCACAGTCTGTTGTTATAGGATTTGTCACAGAGTAACAATCATAATCAAACATGATAAGCAGAAATTGTTCACCCTTTTTTCAGATACAGATGTATAACAGATTCATATATTTGTTTTCACAGACTTCCTTATATCATCACTATTCAACAGACAAAGGCCTGGACAGGCCCTCTAGGTAAGAAATACAATATATGATTTCAGCAGACACAGATTATACAGCCCGAGGGCTTCCTTTGTGACCTGAAGCCAGCAGATGTTACAAGAGTCAGATTTTAACATTCACCTTGTAAGCTACTGACAAAATAGAGAGATGCATGGAGAGGTTGTTCATATTTTGATACTGAAGTGTAATCTTACTTTTGTTTTACAAGGACTTAGTGTTTACGTTCAAGATAACCGTGCTGTATTCTGGGCCTTTCCACTAACATCCTTGAGCTTCTGTCTCAACTGCAGCAATCTATCATCTAACCTTACTGCCTGCAGCACTTTCAGTGCTGTTTCCCGAAGCATGCTACCTCACCTGTTCTCGGTCTCTGTCTTTTTCCTATCTTTGCGCTGAACTTCTAGTACCAAAAAATAGTCTAAAAAAACTTGATGCATTTATTTCAAAGCCTTCACTATGAAAATGACATAGCAATTTTGTTGCTTTAACTTTAAAACAATCAGGTGAAGAAGAAATTCAGCTTTTCTCTGTGAAATATGCTGTAAGATGTCTGAGACCAGTGCTTCTCCCCTTTACATGTTTTTGATGTAATTGTTCTGGCATTGTTTAATCTATAAACCGATAATATAATTATGAGCTTACTTTTTAAATTCCTGAATTCTGATCTCAGGATTAGACTGCTGCTAATACTGCTTATTTCTGTAGTTCTGCAAGTACTGCGAGTGACTACAGAAAAAGAAGGAAGTCAGAACCTGCTGTAAGTCATCAGAGGGTGCACAGTGATCAGAATGCAAACAGGCCTAGCCTGGGCCGTACAGATACGCAAGGCCCATATACCACCCTTAGAAAGCCTTTAACTAGCTCGTCTCCTTCGTCTCCATCAAGAGCAAAAGGTAAGAGGAGAGCGTATTTGTTAGCAGAAAACCACTGATAGGTTGTACAATACATTGGTGGTAAATGCAACTGTCTACTGTTGCTCAGTGCACCTCACTGGGAGATTTACTATATGAAGCAACACCTTTGGGCCTTTCATGAAAGGCTAACTTGTTTATTCTTACGTGTGTAATTTTAAGCCGAAAAGCTGGATTTGTAACAAGGGTTTTCCAGTGTCAACTGCTTATTCTAACAAAAGAAAATTGACTAAATGAAGACTATGATTTGTACAATATATAAACCCATAAAGTTTATTAACTCCACTACTCTCTTATTAGATTATTGTGATTTTAAAACTGTTTTCAGTATATACAGAAAGTAAATCAAGACAAATAGCATATAAGATTAAAGATGTGTTTCTAGAAGAGTAGGCCTTTCAAATCTATAGCTGATGTCTTAGACATTGTCAGTTATCAGGACCTAATTTAATCAAGCAGACATCCATAGTTTGATTTTTGATTTTGTAAATCCCTGAAGTATTTAGAACAGCATATACAATCTGATTAGGTTCTTTTTCCAAGTAACTCACCGTTCCATTACTGTTCTCCATGTCTTTCCAGAAAAGAGATACTTGAATCAGTTGTTGGTTTGTGTTTGGGGTTTTGGGTGGGTTTTTTTAGCAAGACAAAAGGTTTCCAGTAAAACATACGATGGAAGTAATATACAGAGTAATATCGTATACAATATGTCTCCTTCTGTTTAAGTTATTATTCTTCATTTAATTGCTGTATTTTGTAGCTATAATTTCTAATCAGCCTATAGCTGTATTAGGGACTGTGTAAACCTTTGTAAAAGTCAATTCCCATTGAAAAGAACGTAATTTCCAGGCTGCAACAGAATGCATCAGACAAAGAAAAGCAGTGAAGAATTATAAGAGTGAAGTGATGGAAAAGCAAATGTATTTTAAACCCAGTGTTACAGCGGTAATTTAAGAAGTGGGTAAACTCATCCATTTGGTGTACCAGGCCAGGCAGTGAAAAGTTGGTAAACTCCATTTACCTGCATTTACCTTTGACTGCATCACCGATAATGAGCACTTACCATGACTTAAACACTTCCTGTGTTTGAAGATCCTTCCCTTAAGAACATCAACCACAGCTAACTAACCTTTGGAAGGTGACCTAGCTGTGTCACTCCACTCTCCCAGCATTATGAAACCTACTAGAATGTTACTTTTTCTTGGAATTAACCATTTTGTTAAAGAAGCAGCACATTATAAGCTGTTTGATCAGCATGGATTTTGAACTCAAACGTTTTAGTTTCTGATTCAGATTCAAGTTGTTCTTCTAGAAAGCAGATTGAGCTGTTTGAAGCATGTGTCCTGAACTGAATGTTGCCACTTGAGACCATTTTTGAAAGTTCAGTGCAAGTATGAGAGACCACAGTTCCAAATTTGTCTCATAGTGACTTCTAGATCTAGCATGCACATAAAAGTATGTCTTAAAACTTGCTTGAAAACTCAGGCTTTGTTATGGAAGTCAAGCTAAGGGTTATTGTTTCTTCTACATGCTGGTTAGGCTCAGTAAACAGATACATCTTCCTTTACACCCATACAGCAGCTCCTCAGCCACCTTGTTCTGCCCTCTATAAGCTATAGAAAACACCACTCCCTTCAGTGCTATCACACAGGGAAAGAGTGGGCTACCTATGAACAACTGGGAGAAATTTCCCATTTGATCTTATATAAAGATTTATCTTTATCTTAATTATCTTAGAATATGCAGTTGCTGTGAACTCTGAGCATTATCCAGCTCAAAAATTCTGAACAGCTTCTTTCAGAATGCACAGGTGGAAAAGTCAACATTTGACGGAAGTCCAGATTTGTCATTTGGCTTCATCTTTAAATCCTTTGCAGCTTTTATTGTCTGTTGACCTGCTTCAAAATCAATATTAATGCTTGTTTTCTTACATTGTTTTGGTGGGGGGGTTGTGGAGGGGGTAACATCTCCATAATTCATAAGGAATTCTTTTTGATGTTCAAATTATCATGAGTACATTTTTACAGCTGGAAAATGACTTAATTATTAGCTCTGCTGCCCCAGGCTGTAGCAACCTATGTACTGACCTAAGTTGATAGATGCATTAATTGCTGTCTCTTTTCTAGTCTTTCTAATACTGATGTTAATTCCAACTTTCTGAATCTTTTAATTTCTGGCAATGTCTCTTTTTTACCATGCTGCTCTGTGGATTATAAAGGTGGGGATATTAGCAAAGTATATCCATCCCTTTTAAGTTATTCAGTGCACAACCACAACACCTCAAATGAATTAGATTACTGTAGCACTTACAGACAACATTTAGCTGTTCCAAACGATGCAAGAAGGGCAATCAGCTACAAGAATGGCTGGCAAATGACTCGTCAAAATGCAGAAGTCTGGAGCAGCACAGAAGAAACTACTTCTCCAAAGAGAAAATCTCGTAGCTGTGATGATCTGTTAACAGATGATCACGATAGCTTTCCCGATGCACAGACCAAGTCTGAAAGCATGGGCTCTCTGTTATGTGAGGAGGACTCCAAAGAAGTTTGCCCAATGAACTGGGCCTCCCCGTATGTTCCTGAGGGCCGTGGTAGTAGTAGGTCAAGAGTTCGTCACAGATCTGCACATGATGCTCCAGGTTTCTTAAAAATGTACAAAAAGATGCACCGCATCAATCGCAAGGACTTGATGAATTCTGAGGTTATTTGTTCTGTGAAGTCCAGAATACTGCAGTATGAAAAAGAACAGCACAAAGGTATTCTTCAAGGCTGGAGGGAGTCTTCTACTGAAGAGGTGCCCAGAGACATGGTGCCAACCAGAATATCTGAATTTGAAAAATTAATTCAGAAGTCAAAATCAATGCCGAACCTAGGTGATGAAATGTTGTCAACCGTTACACTAGCGCCTCCTAAAAATGGCTTATGTCCAAAGAGGCGATTTTCTATCGAATCCTTGCTGGAAGAAGAAAATCAAGGCAGACATCCCACTCAGGTACAACGGAGCTACAAGTCTAAAACCCTGGTGCCAATTCATATTGAAGTGACCAGTGATGAGCCACAACGATCGCATATGGATTTTTCAGACAGTGATCAAGATGGAGTGGTTTCCGACCTCAGTGACTTTATCCAGATAGAGGGTTCATCCTTTTGTAGCGAAAGTGACTTTGACCACTTTTCCTTCACATCATCTGAAAGCTTTTATGGATCAGGCCATCACCACCACCACCACCACCACCACCACAGGCATCTCATCAGCTCCTGCAAAGGCCGATGCCCAGCATCCTACACCCGCTTCACCACCATGCTGAAACATGAAAGGGCTAAACAAGAAACCACTGAAGATCCAAGGAGACAGGAAGCAGAATCTGGCCTCTCTAAGATAGCATTCCTAGTCAGTCCAGTGCCTTTTCGGAGGAAAAAAAGTGCAGCTCCTAAAAAACAAACTGAAAAGAAAAAATGCAAGTCATCGGTATTTGAAGCACTAGATTCTGCACTTAAAGACATCTGCGACCAAATTAAAGCTGAAAAAAGAAGGGGAAGCTTGCCCGACAACAGTATATTACACAGACTTATTACTGAGCTGCTTCCAGACATTCCAGAAAGGAATTCATCTCTTAAAGCTCTGAAAAAGAGTCCCATGCACCAGCCTTTTCATCCACTGCCTCAAGATGGTGCTATCCATTGCCCATTGTACCAGAATGATTGTGGAAGATTACCTCTTAGTGCCTCTTTTCCAGACATGGACGCAACTAACAACAATGATAGTGCACTGTGTTTCCAAGGTGGATTAACTTTCTTCCTCTATCCTTGTGATTTACTTATCCAACCTTACTCCCTGTACTTCCCACCCTTTCTCATTCCATTTTTATTTGTGTCATCTGTAAGAAGCTTTCATCCCACAAAATTCTTAATGTAAGATGTCATTTTTACATAGGTGATGAGGATAGATAAATTTTCTGTCTATTCACAAAATACAGTAATCTGGATAACTGGAGTAACGGTGAATTTCAACTAATAGATTATTAGTGCTATAAATTACAATGGTGTTATTAAATTAAGCAATGTGGGTTTTTTCCCCAAGAAAAAGACCTTACAGAAAGTGAATGCATGCATCATAAGATGCTGGTCAAACAGAAAACAATATGCAGATAGCCCTTCCTTTATTATTTAAAAAAAAAAAAATCTGCATCTGAAACATGTTGTACTGTGTAGTTTTGTTACATGTCAGTGATAAAAATGCTGTTAATTCTGCCAGTATCACAGAAAGTTGATTCGGTTTTCTTATGAAAATACACTAATTCCGCTGCTTTATATTACTTTTTGTGAATAGACCCTAAGGTCATTTTAGGGAGTTTCCATTTCCACTGTTCAAACAATACAATTCCCAATTTCTGTGGCAGCAAAACTAGTTCTTCTCCTAGAATTTTAATGTATCTATGAAGTTTTGAGAAGTATCCTATCCTCTTAGAAGGGAAATTCTCAATAATCAAAACTTGAATGAAACTGTCAAGAGTGAGTATAACTTTTTAAAAAGTCTGTCTTGGCAGTAATCTGGTTTTAAAGTTACTATTTTGAATTATTCATTGCTCTGCTTCTCTTTTTCTCAAAAAAATTGCTTGAGCTTAAAATGTTTTTAAAGTTTAACCTTGCAATATTAAAAGAAACAAACTAGATTCATAGCCGGAGTGCACAAAGGAGTATCCCAGGTGATTTAGATTAATGTCTTTGGCAAGTCTGTCATTTATTTCTCTTTTTAAGTGGCAACATTTCTGTGCTAAAGAATTCTGCTTCTGGACGTACAGTCCTCTGTGACAGACCATCTTTGAGAATTTAACAACATTACAAAGCTATTCTTGAAAGCACAAACGGATGTAAGAGAGAATGTCTTTACTATATCAATTATGCAATATTTGATCAGGCCCATCTTACTTATCTTTAATCTCACATCTTTTTCTGTAACTTTTGCAAGTACCACACTAGTAAATACGTATTTCAAGAGAAATCAGAATTGAAGTTGTTACCATCTCCTCTTAACTAGTTAAAATAGACATATTGAGAACAGAGAATTTGGTAAAAAACAGCTATAAAATGCAGTTCAGAACTGAATTAGTCATACTTGAGGCCTGATCATGATTAATCCTGGCAGGCAGTACTACACCATAAGACTGAAGTTGGAAATTGCACTGGTCACATATCACAGTTGCTAAATGAGAATTTTCCAGTCCTTGAAAAGAAGGAAATCCACAGTGCAGAGTAAACATGGATTCCTAATAGCTTCTGCAGCTATGAAGGAGCCTGGCATGAGGAAAGTGGTACACTCTGTCAACACTAATATCCCTAAAGTACGATGGAGAATGAGTACAGCAGAATATTCCATTGACTTTCAGCAGCAGCAGTCATGGCTGAGCTCTACTTCTAATGAAGTTTCATGTTTTGTTGGATCTGTGTGTGTCTCTTACAGCCACCGTCCACACGGGGACCCCAAGGTCATAGCAAAAACCACTGAAAACTACCAATATTGACTGCAGAAGGAGCTGTATAGGAATAAAGGAAAATGTTCTTCTTAAAGTTGCTGCGTTTTCTCTCCTTCCCTCCTATGTCCTTCTCTTTCTGCTAGGGTTTAAAGAAAAAATTAATAGAAGTGTTTGGAGGCATTATATCTTTAGGTTTATGCAGTGAGCATAGATCCTCATTCACAGGCACATGCCATATCAAGAAAGCTGTCCAGAAATGGGACTGTGATACACTTTTTGGTGAGGACATGCTTGCAGCCAATGACATAAATAATACAATTATCTCATTTTTTGCCTCCACCGTTTTTATCAATAGCCTCAAGTTTTTGTGGCTTAGCCAACAGCCCGATGGAGACCATTTACATCTTTCTTCTGTAAGACCCCAACATAATGGATAAGATGCTTTCAGTTCTTTTTTTTCCACTTTAGAACTTCTTTAGAAATGTATGGGCTTGGTAAGAACAGATCATGTGAATGAAGTCAAAGGAAGACAGTCAGCGATATGTCTCCACTAGCAGGTATCACTGTGGCAGTGGGAGACTAAAACAGTAAATCTCAGAAGTCAAGAGGCAGTTCATTTCATGCTCTGGTCTGAAATAATTCCGTTATATTTTCATTTCACATTGGCAACTTGCAGAGCCAAGTGTAAGGAGTGTAAGATTTTGATTTTATTTTTTATTAAAACATGAAAAGATGTATTCACCATCCTATAATATACCATCCTATAATAAACATCGGTACCAAACTGTGCTTTAGAGAAAATCTGCCACATAGATTGGTGAGTAATGATTTGTACTCCATCTCTTAAAACAGAGTTGTTTTTATGAAATAACATCCTTTTAAATTCCCTTGTGCTGCCTAACAAGTGCCCCTGGTAAAGTAGAAATGCATCTTAGATCACTTAGGAGGAACCAAGTTTTCTTCGCTATTTTCTCATTGAAGCATGCCTTAATCACGTTTTGTGCACGTAACTATGTGTTGATATTGTTGGCATTCCGAAACAGTTCCTTGCAACCCGATGAAGTCCTGATACTGCTGTCATGTCTTCCACTTGGTCCAGTAGGGGTGCATCCCTTCGTACAGTAAGGCATAATTTTGCTCTCTCAATCCTCTATAATATATTCTTCTGCTGTGGATCAGAGGGACAGCCTTTGCCTTTGCTTGAGAGTCAGTATCTTTTTTTTCTTTAAAGGTGCACTTTAGCCATCATATCATGTGCTTTTCTTTCTAGTAAAGGTAAAATAATAGATTTCAATATCTCTTCACCCCCCTAAATGAAACCAAGCAGCATCACAGATTTGAATGGTTTTGTTTAATTTACCATAGTTTCACATAATTTCTGTTTTCAGTAGACCAGGAGTCTCCTGGAAGCTATTCTTCTGCTTTCACTGATGTGGGACGATGTACTCCAAGAGAGAGAAGAGGAACTACAGACAAAGAGGTAGTGAAACAACAATAGATAATGCAGCAATATCCATATGGAAAATTGGTAACATATCCGAGACAAGATTTGTGTTGGTTTTAAGACACTGTAATGATACAGACCAAAGGAACAGTTACTTATCATATCATCAGATGGAACAGCATCCTTCTTTTTCATTAAGGAGATGGGTATTTCAAGAAATTAAAAGAATATCAAGCTTTGTAAGATAAGCTGTATCTTCAATTTATGTTTAAATAGATATGGACAAAAGTTTACTAGTCATTGATAGGCTCCGTCAAAGTTGACCAGAGTGGGTGTTTGGGACAGAGAAGAATAGCAGATGTGACTGGGGAAAGACTCTTTTGAGAACCGGAGCGTTACACAAAGAAACTGCCTCAGTAGTTTCAAAACTGATACAAAGAACATCAGTATTTCACCATTATTTTTGTTTAGAAAAAGCAAAACCGCTGCTGTTAGTGTGTTAGACAAAACCACTTATCCTAAGAGCAATCTCTAATTTCTATAACAGTTGGTGATTGTAATTGTATACTGATTGCTTATATCAATGCTTTGGAAGAAGAAATGGAAGCAGGCACACAACCTTTAAAGTAACACAAAGTATCACTGAAAAGTATACACAAAAACATGGAGTATATCATTCAGTATTTTAAGAATATTTCTAGATCTAGAACTATAAATGCTCTCCAAACAGGCTTCAGGGATTTTATTCAAACATAAAGTAAGTACATTTATATTAACCAACATATACAGACCATAAATTGTTAACTTTTTCCATAAATTTTTATTAAAATATTGCACAAAATAATGGCAGCATAAGAGCGTACTGTATTTTAATTGCTAATATTTATGTTTTTGTTCTGGGCCATCTACCTTGTTAAATGGTGGTACAGGTTAGAACTGGTTACAGGATCTGAATTTAGATCCGCTTACACCCCACTGACATGGTCATATTGCTGCAATTCAGTTAAGACTCTGATTTCAAAAAAAGACTACCCATTACAAAATAAAGGTTAAAAAAGTTCCAGAAGCCATATTGTGTGTTCCTTTTAAAGAATTTTGTCATATTGAAAGTCATCTTTCAATTTGAAAATATATAAAATACTTATACTACAAGCCATTCTTAAGATTGCTGTAATTTAAAAAGATGAAAGAAGAAAGGCTTCTCTATTTCCATGATTTCAAAAAAAGACTACCCATTACAAAATAAAGGTTAAAAAAGTTCCAGAAGCCATATTGTGTGTTCCTTTTAAAGAATTTTGTCATATTGAAAGTCATCTTTCAATTTGAAAATATATAAAATACTTATACTACAAGCCATTCTTAAGATTGCTGTAATTTAAAAAGATGAAAGAAGAAAGGCTTCTCTATTTCCAGTATGTTTTGATGAAAGAAGAAAGGTGTCTCTATTTCCAGTATGTTTTGTACATTTCAAAGTATTTTGTATTTAATCAGCTCCACTGTTCTTTTAATATTATCCCCCTTCTTCCATTATTTGCTTTAGTAGTTACAGCACCAGCTGTACCAAAATCAGGAAAGAGTGAAAAGGGCTTAGCTACAGTTGATGATATGAATATCCCCTCCCATCTAAAAGACTATTTTTAACAACAGCAGGGAACAGGAAAATGCTTTTACATTTAGGCTATCTTATTTGAAGGAGACCTGTAATGGAAAATTGTATTAGTATTATAAAATGCAAGTTGACAGGATCCCTGTAATAACTTTGGGGACTTTTTTATTATAGGAAAGACAATGCTTTAGGTATGCTAAATTTGCTAGCCTTTAGATGACAAGAAGGGAGAACCCAGTCGAGCACATCTGGCCTGGAAGAAAGGTAAAATGCAAAACTTAGGAGCATCCCTTTTTATTCCTCTTATAAAAAGATCTGCACCCTTACATTGTTACAAATAGTATCTCTCAGAAATAGCGTAATCAGCTCATTCTAGTCACTAGTATATCCTAGAGAGAGATTTTTAAAAATGTAGCAATCTCATCTGCGCGAGTACTTGCAGAGAAAGGCTAAATCACTTTACCAAATATTCTCACATAATACTGCTAACCACTTCTTGCACCTTCCTCTGAAGTATCTCGTGTTGGGTATCCAGAGGCAGACACTAGATGAGTGAGGCTCTTGCGTCAGATCACAGTTTGTGTTTTCAGCACAGCTTTGAAAACAGTGAAAGTATAAGCGTCAAACTCACAGGTGAGGAGAGGTGGGGTTGTTCTACAGTTTTATTTTTGAAACAGTATTGACCTTACAGATACTTGGTGATAAAACTTGATAAATATATGAAAGGAATGATATGATGTGAGTGCCTGTGATAGCAAGAGAGCTGTACAGATGACTTAGGAGATCACTTCCAGTCCTGCGTTTCTCAGACTTTCTTAAAACTATGAATGTGATGATAGAAATTTAAAATATTCCCAACCTTTTCCAGCTGTCGGAGTAATTTTTCCTTTATATATATATATATATATATAAAATGTGATGCAGTATTCGCAGTTGAAATTAGCCTAAAGATAACAAGTTCAACAGAAGAGGCATCTAAAGTATTAGAGAATATCAAGCATGTGAATTCCCATTGTACCTAGAGATCTAGTTGCCTACAAGTCACACTGGCATTTAGTTAACTTTTTTTTTTTTACTTTTGTAGTTCTCTTAAACATAATATTGCAAAGCAGTCTGTATTAAAATTTACCTGGTATTTCTATTTTTAAAATACTAAGTCCCAAACACCGAACTGCCGTAAAAAAGGAAGCTGTGTATTTAATTGCCTATTACTGCAAGAACCACTGTAAGGCACACGTCCTTTTCTTTTTCGATCTTGGTCACCTTTTTAAAAGCTGAAACACGTTTACCATATAGTAATACTACCTGAATGTATTAATCACTTTGCCTACTTTTCAGAAACTGCCAGCTAGAGCTGTATATGACTTTAAAGCTCAGACTTCTAAGTAAGTACTAGACTTTTGTTCATTTAAGAATTCATAATTCAAGAAAACTCTTTCTAGCACTTGTGGCAGCTAACTGCTGTTCTAGCCAGTTTCAACAGCAAATGCCATGGAAGCAGAGGACCCTGCTTGCTGTCACAGTAGTCTCTGCATTAGTAAACTGTGTGAGAAGTTATTTTGTAATAAAAATGTCTTAAAATTATTATATTCTCCATTGTATTTGTTTGAACACATGAATGGTTGTGCAGCTTCAGCCTTCTAGAGCATGGGTCCCGAGGGTCACCCACCGAACGCTCTTCATTTGTTGTGAATGGTATTTAGGTTACACAAGATACAGTGCTTAAAATACTGATGTAGATAGTGTGCTTATCAAAATTCTGTATAATGCTTCAGCATCTTCCCGTCTGCCTTAACATACACAGGCTCTCTGCAGGATGCGACATGTCCCATACCAAAACAAACCACAGTGGTCCAGAAGAAAAAAAATCAGGAAACACTGTTCTAGGATATGAGAGAGTCAAAGTAGAGTGCCTGTATTTCATTCCTGCTGTTGTTCTGATGATCCAGGGCATTTAAACGATCTTTAGATATGGCCAAACTTTGCCACTAGAATTACATTAGCTGTGTCTGGTAGAAAACTCACAACTTGAATTATCAGAACAGCAGATTAACTCTTGAAAAACAAAATGGATGATACAGCAAAGAACTCCAGAAGATGTTCTCAATGATGTGGATAATTCCCTTTTTTTGGTATCCAACATTAAGTGTATCACATGCCCTGAGTATCAGAAATGGTGAGAACATAATCCTGTGTTCTTCATGCTTCTGAACAGATGTCTTGAAAGAAAAATGCATAGAGCAGAAGCACACCAAGCTGTGCTGCTGCAAAAAAGGTAGTAATAGGCCATAGAGACGTGGGATATATTCTATAGGTTCCCCTACCGATTTCACAAAGAACACCAAATACCCCTCAGATGCCTGGCATAAAAGCAGCATCTAAACAGGCGATCCAAAAGACATCATACTTGCATGCAGACCCTATACTAAGTGCTCTGGTAATAACTAGCAAACTTCCTTGAAATCACAGTGTAAAACAGGCCTGTATAACTCACAGATAGTACCTGGGATTCATAAACGTGAATCATTTCATTTTATATGGTGTAATCAACTGGTAAATGTACCACAGCTGTGACACTTTTTCTTTAAAGGTTTAGTTGCTACATTCTGTTTCAGTTCCGAACTGTAAAGATCTCAGAAACTATGCAGGTTGAGGAGTTACATGTAAAACTGTAAACATCTGGTCTAAATAAATTTGTTACAGAGAGCTGTCCTTTAAGAAAGGAGATACTGTCTATATCCTCAGGAAAATTGATCAAAACTGGTATGAGGGTGAGCACCACGGAAGAGTTGGAATATTCCCAATTTCTTATGTCGAGGTTTGTTCTCTGTTTTAATTCCTTTAATTAGTTTGGGCAATAGGTCCACAAACTGCATGGGAATGATGAAAATCTGTGGGTTTTCTTTTTCCTTAGAAACTTTCTCCCCCAGAAAAAACACAGCCTGCCAGGCCACCTCCCCCTGCACAGATTGGAGAGATTGGAGAAGCTATTGCCAAATATAATTTCAGTGCAGACACAAATGTGGAGTTATCACTTAGAAAGGTACAGTTTAGAACTATCTTTATCAAAATACCATTATAGTGCCTACTGTTACACAGAATTTATATATAGGTAAATACTATGCTTTGGCGCACTCTGCATTCAATATTTGCTATGCACAAAGCAATGTAACGGTAGGAAACTACTAACATAATAGCTTATTGGCTTGCAGTCTTTCACTGCTACCTGCAAATAGTTTAAATATGTTGTGCATGTAAACTGTATTGTGGTAGATTAGCATATGCAAACATGTGTTAACTGCCCACTAAATTTCTAGTTTTCACTTCAATTATCCGTCCCTGTTTTTTAATACTTATTTGTTGCTGTCACAATTATCATGGTAAGGTTGTTAATATAGAAGAAATAGAAAAACACAGAAAATAGAAAAATATGGAAAAAAAGGCTCACAGACATTTTTGTGAATGTACCACCTGCTCTTGCAAATAATTCATTTAATAACAGTCTGCTTTTTATAACATTCTCTTATCTTTCTATGCACATCCTGGCGGTTATACTTTATTGCACACGAGCAAAATAAATGTTTAATTTCTGAGGTTTGTCAGACACTGGAATATTACCGCTGTAGAGAAACTTTATTACTGCAGATATTCTATACTTAGTTGTAAGTAGTACATACTTTTTATCCACTGGAAAGTTCTGCCTCTTACTTGTTTTTTTTTTTTTAAGAATTGGAGTTCATAGAATTTATTCAGTGGTTTGTTTTTCTTTTGAAATAAGAGTAAGGATACAGTTTTTGATGCTGGCCTAGAGCCTAATCTAGCATCACTGAAGATAATGGGTGCTTTTCCACTGATTTGAGATTGGGAAACGTCAAAGAGGTCTAAAAAAAAAGTCAGGAATAGGGACTTAGAGAACTAGGGGTTGGGAGTAGTTTGATGATTTATTTCTTTTTAAAATTCTCTTTTGTGCTTATTGTGGTGGTCATAATCTTGACAGCCCAGTATTGGTTTGTTTTTAAAAGTTAACTTGCAGTGGTTTTCTTTTGTTCCATCCCACTAAAGATAATTTTAGGGTACTCCGCAAATCAGCTACAGAAACAAAATTACAGAAACCCAAGAGAACGCAAAACTAATAGGGAAGGATTTGTTACAAAAAGACACGTGGTAAAAAGCACATCATGTAATACAAAGGAGGAGGTAGCTCGTGAAGTTTCACTACAGAGAAACGTTTGAATAGAAAATCGGTATTTTCCATTTCAGTTGCTAAGCACTCTAAAAACAGTAAGTGAGCCACCGCCCATCTTTTTTACACAGGAAAAGCACTTTCTCTCATCTTTCCCATGAACTCATTTTTTAACTTTCTACCTCCACTTATTCCAGTTTTACTGATAACAAAGCACTTGCATGGATTTCATTGTTTAACTTTTATCACTTTTAAGGAAAAATGGGCATAGCAGTCACTATTGCATATTACAGTTAGGGTGTTAGCTAGCAGTTTGGCCAACAATTAAAACAGGTTATGATCCAAGGAAAAGTTTAAATGTTAATCCCCCAGCCAAGAGTAGGAGACTACATGAAATTCCCCTCTGATAAAAGAATAGTATTTGCAGTCCGTGACTAGCCCCCTGTTTTGCTGGAATGGTAGTTTTATACACTGTTACTATAAATGGGAGGAGAAATGTGAAAATGGAGACGATTCTCAAGACCGATGGGAAACAGCACTGCAGGGAAAATAATACTGTGTGTTAAAATAATATCTGCTTTTCAAAAAATTAACTTACAATGTATCTGCTGATAACTCTTTTTCATAATGCATTTCAGGGAGACAGAGTAATTCTTCTTAAGCGAGTTGATCAAAACTGGTATGAAGGTAAAATACCAGGAACCAACAGACAAGGCATCTTCCCTGTTTCCTATGTAGAAGTCATCAAAAAGAATGCATCAAAAAGTGTTGATGACTACCCTGATCCCCCGATACCCCAAAGCTATTCTAGTGACAGAATACACCATTTAAGTTCAACTAAGGTAAGGATTTTTTTTTCTTTGCTATCACCCCTACAGTGGGTTTAGGACTTGTAATTTTTTTGTGAACAGAAGGTAATGCATAATTCATGCATTAAGTACACTACATTTTCTTTCCTGCGTAGGTAAAATTGCATTACTGACTTGTTATTAAAGTCTTTTAATAGCCAAGTGTGTGTCTTACATTCTGCCAGGATTTTTGCTCTTTTCTTCATTCGCTATTACATTATTGAGCGTAGGGCCAGGCAAAATTTGGGCAGAAAAATCAAGCCGACAGAACAAAATTTATTTGGGAATCTTAGACAGAATTTGAGCATTAAGGATACGTCTAGCAGACTTTTTGTAGTGCAATGTGAAGACATTGCCGTAACACAGCTGTCCTAAAAGCCTGCAGTCCCATAAGCATGCAAAGGGCAAGAGAGGGCAGTTTGTGTGGGGACACAGCTTGCCAAGACCAGTCTGTGCCCTTCAAAGTAAAGGAGAAGAGCTAACGATTCTGTACTATAACCTTCCTCCTTTTGCCGTTCACACTCTAGAAGGAGGCTGTTGGTACAATGGAGGTTCTTTGGCGTGGTATGACAACAGTGACAGTATTGTTTCATTTAGTAGTGAGGCAAATGTCATGACATTGTCAATGAGCTTGGATTCAGACCTTTATAGTTGTAATTTTTCACACCAAATGTCTGTCGTAGGTTCTGAATTCTTTTCCTTCCTAGTCTATATAGCCACCACAAATCATACTACAAGATGTTGCAAAAAGATTCCTGTATTCTAATTTGTCACTCACTCGTGAGATTTTGCAGTCACCTGTGTGGGAAACGTAACCTCTTTGGCAGTGATAGAAACTAAGAAAGTTTCTGCATGCAAACTATGATTAGCATTAATGTATTATCGATGATTTTGAACACTCAAGATGGAAACTTTTCTAAATCTTCCTCTTTACTTTTGTTGTTTATCTCTTCAGCATGGGTGGTGGGTTTTGTGTGTAATTATAAACTTCTTATCCTGCTGTTCTCTATTTATTTCGGTTGGTTTTGCCCCCTTTTCTACTTTCATATACTTGCATACCGGTGCTTATTTAGATGCTTCAACTTTCAGATAAGTTCCACATTTATTTGCAGCTTTGGGGACAGCTACCAAAAGATGTCATTTATAGACAACAGTGGCCTCTGAAAATACTGTTTATGACTAAACAATATTAGCTGGTTTTGGATTAGCTGCTAGAACGGGTCTTGTCTGGTTTTTCAGAATGTGTCACAACAGAGAAATAGCTCCTCTCTCTTCCATTCCAACAAAACTGTTGAATTGAAGTAGCATCAAATTCTGTAGCTGCAGACTGAAGTATTCATAAGCTAGGGCCCCTATTATTACAGGAATCCAGACATTCCTGAAGGCAAGTCAAGCGTATGAGGCAACCTAGGTGCTCCATATTACGGAGCTGTCTCTCTGTATTTGGAGATGCCTCTCTCCCCATTTTCTATGGAGCAGGCTTGTCTCTAAGGCATCCTGCAGCTAAAGCTGGTGTTTGTGTAACTACTATAACCCTTGTTGAGCACAGGTGATGCTTCAGAGTGTTTACATTCAGATCACAAAACTGTCCTGCCACTATTAATTATTAAATTAGTTCTGTAGGAGAGGAAAAGGGAAGAAGCCTTCTTTGTAACACAGGAAACTTGCAATCATCTGGTTCTAGCATAAGTCAAAAAAAAAAAAAAAAAAAAAAAAAAAAAGAGAGCCTTTACTGATGCTCTTAAACAGACATCTGGTTTCTTAATTCAACTGTATTTAGAAATGGCAATATCATGTAAGAAGACATCTTGTTCCTGACTACCTAGAAGGCCTTTAGCCGTCCTGAAGGTGTTCTGGAGTTTACCACAATTACGGATACCACTTTTCCTATTCCTTTGGGGGTTTTTATCACTCCCTGTTGCTGGAGCAATTGCACTAAACTTCTCTGGCCTAATGGCAATAAAAATAAATAAGCAATACAAGTCAGGAGCAAGCTTTGCTCTCCTTAACTTGTCCTAGACCACCTGTATCTTTAGCTCTAGTGCAGCCTGTAGCCACGGGAAACTAAAAATGGCAATGTCTCCTCGGCAGTAGAGGCCCTTGTTCAAGAGGAATGATGAGGGAAAGAGATTGAGTATTGCTTGTAACAGCCTAGCTCTGTTTTAGCAGACTGCATTGTATCAGTCTATAGACTGTTTACTCTGGTATAGAAGACTCCAGAACAAAGGTTTGTCTAACTATAAAATAAAGCTATTTGCCTCAAGAAAACTCAAGCAGAAGGTAAGTAAATTAACTATTCTGCAACATTAATTTAACCTTTTGTCCTGGTTTCAGCTGGAATAGAGTTAATTTTCTTCTTAGTAGCTGGTATAGTGCTGTGTTTTGGATTTAGCATGAGAATAATGTGGTAACACACTGATGTTTTAGTTGTTAAACCATGACACCTTTTGAAATTATTTTCCTATTCTAGAGTAATACTTAAAGTCTAAAGTAGTCCAGATAACTTAGAGATGTACAGCTAATTATTCTGGATAATTCTAACAATGAGATCAAACTATTTTTCATCCAATTTTAATTTTGAGGATGAATAGTAACAAAAATGCATTTTCAGTATTTACTGAAGCAATGGATATCTACTGATGCTGTGTACTGACTCACCACCAGTCTCTCATTCTTACAAAAGGACATTTCTTTTACCAGAAGGATACTTCAATCAATATTATGTAACGGTACTCAAAATATACTGCTGTGTACTGTGCTGTCACTATTTTAAAAGCATTGTTGACTGCCTACATTCAATTAGAATTGAATGTACCTTTCACAAATGTTGATGTCATTTTGAACTAATAGGGTTACTTTTGAAGAAAAATGCATTCTGTAGCTGCTCATGCCTTAATAAAAGTATGCAATGTGTTAAAGATGTTTCTTAAGTATTTATTCAGAAGTACTAAGAAAAAGTAGAAGTATTAACATTAGGATAATTAGAAATCACCTCAGTTGTTATAGTTTAAAAGAAATACTTAATGACACCTGAAGTGTACTTCTGAAAATACTATTCTCAAAATAACAGTAATGGTTCAAGAAAAATTACATTAATGTTAATTGTATGATTTAAAAACGTGTGACACGCTCACTAACAGAGCGCCATAAATAACATAACTTTAGCAGACCAAATGCAGGTCGCCTTCATGAATGTAATGATTCAGATCTGTCTTAGTGTTTGACATTTAAGCCCCAAGCCAGAACCTGATACAGTTTCATTTTTCAAATGTCTTTCCTGCTGTTCTGATTCCTGTAGTAATGATTTCAGACACCTGTGCTCGCTGAAATGATACCCTATAACCCAGATGATGGCACAGACATTTTTCTTTCCAGTCTACTCATATCCTAGTTCTCTATCATGCTTATTTATTTATTTAAATTCCTATGTTTCTCTTATTTTTGAAGTTGCCTTCCCAAGCACTGTCCCCACTTTCCAGACACATTTCCTCCTCTTGGTCACACATTGATCAAAAGATTCTCCAGGCTGCCACTAGTGACTGGTTTTCAAGGACTGTTGGTTTTTCACCTTCAAGCGTGTGCATCTTACCTCCTCCACCATTTCCAGACAGTTTTCTTTGTAACTTAGAAGAACTCAATTCTTTGGCATTAACAACATCCCAATCTGTAGCAATCTCCCCAGGTAATAGCATTCACCAAGTTAAAGATGATCACTTTATTCCAAATACAGAGGTCTCTCTCAGCCCTCCTACAGCTCTTCCTCTGCCCTTTCTTGTATTTACCTCTGTCTCATCTTCAGCCAGCTCATCTCATGACATAGCATATAAGCATACCAGCAACAATACCAAGCCAGGAAAAGGTAAAGACTTGAGAGGTATGCTTGACTCTTCAGTTACCGAAGTACCTAGAGACTTGTCAGATACTACAAGAGAAGGTGAACATGTTGGCGCTATCTGTAACATCCCTTCGCCACATGAAGGTGGCTCCGTCTCCAGAGTGCTAGCTGCAACTGCTGAAAATGAAGAGGAAATCTGTACTGCAGAGCTGTCAGTTAATATAGGGGATCAGTCAAAGCCTCAAGAATCAGATTTCTACAGAGCAGCACAAGACGCAACAGAAGAACTGACAAGACTCTATATAGAGGAGGATCTGGGACATGACAATTTAGAATTCCCCATAGCAAGTGGAGGAGACTCCATGGTATGTTATGAAGGATACACTTCACTGAATATTGATAAGGTACTTTAATTTCTGAAAAACCTGGCTTCTGTGTTCAGATAGCTTACTTGGTATAATTATTCTCTGCCTTTTCTTGTATTTACACGTTTGTATTGTGCACAGGCACAGTTTTATACTATTGCGTTGGATAAAAATTGTCAGTGTTAGGGGATAGTCCCTTCTCAGAAGCAGGCATATACGCCCTTGTAAGCTCTATGGTGTATCAATTCTGCTGGTCCTTTCCCTTCTGTCCTTGTTAGCTGCCACTGAGCTTCTGATGTGAAAAGCCAGTGAGCCATTTTCCTCACTGGCCCATTACATGCCACCCCTTTTGAGCCAGCGGCCCCAGCAAGCAAATGCTATCAGCAGCCTTCAGAGGGAGGGACATGCCTCCTGCAGAGACTCAGCGGTTTGTACTTCACATGTGTCACTTCACCAGCTGATATATTTATAGTAGACTCTGTTATGGGAATGTGACTAATAACAACAGATCAGATTATGTTTGGCAGTTAAACAAATGCTTCCCCTAAAGCCCTCCCCAGTTCCTCTTTGGGACAGTACAACACTGAACTATCCCGAATGTCTGCTAGCCATTAAATGCTGCAATATTGCTACACAGTTTGTGTGGTTTCTAGGCAAAGTTTTAGAACAGATCTTTTCTGTCCAGCACTTATTTTAACAGACTGTTCAGGCAGTTGCTTTGGCTAGCACATGCAAACATGTAAATTAGATACTTAGGACAATATGTTTTAGGCCAAATTTAAAACCAGTTAGTTAGAAAGATTTTGCAGGCTGCCTCTGCCCTTACTTGACCTGAAAAACACAGGAGAAAACCGTGAGAATAGAGGTGAAATCCACCGCCATGAATAGCAACTTGTTTTGATTTCTGAGGGAAGGATTTTCTTCCAGAATGGCAGACTGACTAATAATAAAATTAGCATCCCATTTCTGACTGTTCAGGTTAGTTACATGACTCCTTATTGACCATATTATGTCCTTCACAGCTGGTTTTATAGCACAATTACTTGTCATTTTTCTTAAACGCTTAAGCCAGCTCTACTTTCTATGGGAACGTCACAAAACTCTGATCCTCCTTTCCAACTTTCTTCTAATCTTCCATTTTCACTCTGACAAGGCACCAACTTCTCACTCTGTTCCTACAACATCCCCGTCTACTGCTTCCCTCTCACCTCCTCTCCTTTCTAAACCCTTACATCAGCAGGAGAGAGACTCACCAAAGTTAAAGGTAACTGCACCTCTTGAGTATGGATTGTTGCAAATCTTCATGTATATTAAATAACTGCAAGGCTAACACTGAGTTTGATCTTTCCAGATGTATTGTTTCCTTTACTAATATTAAATAACATAGCACAAGGAGTATTAAGATAGGCCTTCTTCAAATGAAACACAAGGTATAACTATAACCATTATGATACAATGAAATAGCAACAGACTTATATTCAAGTACACAGAAACTAAGTAACATCTGTAGCTTAAAAGTGTTTTCAATTTCAATCCAAAGCCCCCAGGCTTTGGATTGAAACAGTCATAATTTCATATATGAGAACAGTCATAAATTTCACAATAAAGCACCACTGCAGAGGGTCATGTTCTAAATACCAGTTCTGTTAGTCAAGGACTGGACAAAGATTATTCCCTCTTCAAGACTACACTTTGTGTCAGCATTGCAGCTCTGTGGCAGAAAAATGAAATCTGGAAAGCTTATAGCTCTAGATAGACAAAGACAATTGCCAGTGCAGTTTAGACCCAAAGTCAATTGCCAGTGCTGACTTCCAGAGAGTCCATTTGCTCATGGAAAGGAGAAAAAGTCACGTACAAAGTTTGAGAAACTATCCTAGAAAGAGTGATCATTACATCTATCGCAAAAAAACCCCACATTTTTTATAAAAATCTACCACATCTTACAGTGTGTGTTCATGGAAAACCCAGACATAATGGACTTCAAGAAGTCTTAAGGTCCACCAGATCTGCTGGGTTTTTTTCTGAAGTAGGGAGGAGACATAAAGGTTCTTTCCAGGGCATGAATCTGTCATGGGCTTAGGTATGTTTCACCTCAAAGATGGGGTAAAACACAGTATTGCATTTATTTCTGCAACTTTGAATAATTTATCAGTTGTGCAGTGCTTTTGATGGGTACTTTTTGCTTAGCCTAACTGACAAAATTCAGAAAATTCCTCATCTACACTGAAATTTCCTTTAGGTGACCCTGATATTCCTGGCTCTTGTCTGAGCAAGGCATGTTAATCCCAGCTGAAAATAAATAGAGGGAACATCTGTTTTGAGAGTTAAAAGATCTGCCCCTGGGAACCTCCCAGACAGTGTACTGCTCTTCGTTGGGCATGGCAGGAAGCAATTAGGCTACAGTAAGTAACCAAGGGAGATGACTCCATCTTGCAGACACAAGAGCCTGAGTACTGAGAAGAATTAGGGGCCTGGGGGGGTTGTTACAGAGTTCTAGCTCTTAATTATTGTTTTCAAACCATTTCAAATCTGGATTATTTTTTAAGTCTATGGAACATATTCCCTTATAAACTTAACCAGTATAGACTTATCTATTTGAAAATTGTTGAAATTATTAGATACACTCCTACTGACAACAGAATTTTTTGCACAATATTTCCAAAATGAGATAAAGATTTATTTCCTCCCAAGGGTAAGAAAACTTTTTTCAGCAGTCAACACTGACTACATTGCCAGGATAGAGAGTTGCATTAAAATAAGCGTAGCCAGGTTTGGCTGTCATCATTTCTTGCTACTTAGTCTACAGGCTGGACTTTAGAAGGAAGGACAGTTCCTATCCTCTTCTGTTTGTGCACGTTGTCCATGATTAAAGTCTCCTCTCAACTGCTACAGCAGAAAGAACATGATACATTTCCAGGACTCAAACATCACAAGTGAAGGGAGGTTTTTCAGAGAGTTCTTGAAACCGTATACTGATACCTTGGTAATTTTTGTTAATGTAAAAATACATACATACATCTGTTTGTATATATATATTTGGAATGCGGCTCAAATCTAAAGCATGACGCGGGATTTGGGCAGTAGACTACAAGGAGGTATGGGTGGGAAGTGTCACTTTGCTCCATGTTGGTGGGAGGGACGTGTCCTCCAAAGGAAGAACTCTGAAGACACTTCCCAAGGAGAAATGCTGCTGTTTTCCTGCCTCCTTGGCCTCCCTTGGTATCCTTTTTTTTTTTTGTTATTCACCCTCTCAGCTTCCAAGAGGGGGCTGCTCTTCTGTCTTGCCACATTCTACTGGCAAACAGTCACAAATAGCAATGAAAAGGTTTCCAATGTCAGCACTCCACTCCTCTCACATTTCCCCCAACTCGCCCCTGCCCCTGAGAATTCACATTTGCTGCACACACACCCGTAGGAGCTGAATTCTGACAAATATTTAGCTGATTTATAGTGATGTTAACAAAACAAGGATTTTTCCTTGAAGTGCTTTCCATCAAGTATTTACTTGCTTTCTAAATGCAAATTTAAGGTCCGTGTTCTGTTTAACAGCAAGGAATTAGAAATACCAATGACAAATGTTGTAAGATAGTATTTATGCTCTGTGCTGTTGAGCTTTTCTGGATTATTAACTGAGCTACTTCAGTGGGTACACTTGCAATAACTGTTCTTATTCCAACTGCATACACTGTGCGTGATTAATCTTTTAACTGTAATGTGTAAGGGCATGTTGCCAGAGCAGCAAACCCTGGGAAAAAAGATACAGTGGCAACAGTGAAAATACCATATACTAATAGTACCATTATTTGCACCTGTAACACACTTGCTTTTTGTTATCAAGAAAAGCATGTCCAGTTTGCATGTATGAATGAAGCAACAAAAATCCCATGATGCTTCATTCTTAAACTCTCACTTGACACAGTTTTTGTGGTTTTTCTAGGCTAATTTAAAGAGAGAGGTATTTGTTATGGGTAAACCTCCTCGTAGCCCACTGATGACTAAGAGATCCTGCAGCTCATCTGTCAGAGGTCACAGCTATTCACACAGGGTATGGTACTGGATGCCCCGTGTGCAACAGCAGCATTTCCATAGAAAAGGAGCTCCGTGTCTAGTCTTTCAGTATTTTGCTTTTGCCCAAGTGTCTCAACACTATCAGTATGCCGTGTTTTCTTCCTGTTGTGCTTCTGTGCTATGTCTGAGTAAAGCCAACAGGTCTGTGTGTGCCAAAACTTATTTTATAAATCCATTAGTGTATTGTATCTCTGCAGTACTGCACAGTATTTCCAGTGCTACAAGATGTAAGACATCAAAGTTCTTTAGATTTAGCCTGCTTTTTTTCTAAATTACTCCTCTTGTTTCAAAGCATTTCTAGTTTATTAAAATTACAGCTTCCAAGAATCAAAAATTTATACTTCATCGCATGTATACAAGCTTTTGTATACAGGCTGAATTCTTGGTTTTGAATCCATGACCTTCTTTTCAAAATGTTTTGTTGCTACTATGTTATGTTCACCCAACACTGTGCTCTTTATCCAAGCACTGTGATTCCAGACTGTCACACTCTTTAGCCTTTCCCTTCATATCTGTAATATAACAGTAACGTAATTGTAACAATTCTACCTACCAAAGTCAGCTTGTTTAGAGTTTGCATGTGTTTGGCTCAGAAAGGTGATCTAAATTATGAAAAAAAAACCCAACCTAAACTGTATGAGAGTAAGAATTTATGGGTTATGTTTTACTTTCAGTTTAGGACTAAATTATTCTCTGCATCTGGTTCTTAACATCTGGCTCTTAAAACTGATAACAAGATGAACTGTTTTCCATGCTGTTGCTGCTGATTTTAGGTTATCGTCTTTCCGGTAGTTCCCTTTTTAAAATTTGAATTTTAATTTAAGATATGCAGGTTTGTGTAACTTTCAAAGTCTTGGCTTTTTGGAAGGCCTCTGTTTACTACCAGGTATGAGGGGACAGTGCTTTCTTCATCACTGAAGAGAGACAGTTCAATCACAGGATTCTTGTAGTAGCGGACCAACACCATCCCAAAGAAAGTCCAACTGGGAATAAGATCCATAAAAAAGGGATTAAGCCCTATTTTAATTTTGCATGTTACTCCAAATGAATGGCATGTAATCAATATATTAAGAGGACTGTATTGGTCAATGTTTAGTGCATTTATGACTTTAATTCCAAAGCTACAAGAGCACAAATTGTACACCTAATTTGCATGTTCAGGACTGTACAGAACCATTATATGCAAGCACATATCAAATCATGCATGAAAATCAGGTGTACAACTGGGACCATTGACTTGACTACACGCTTTTTAATGTTTTTGGGATTAGGTCCTACAATTTTTCCCAGGAAACAGAATAGTGTAGTGAACTGAGTTGTAGTTGGAAACTAGAAATCCTAAGTGCCAAGATCTACCCATAGGGTGATGCGTTTCATGATATCTCTTGAGTGCAATTAGCGTGGCCTTGCAACAGTCCCCATTCTAGCCAATGCCGCTGTATGTGGGAATGAGAGCTTAGGGAAAGAAAATGGGGAGAAAGCTTCTTGATGTCAGCTGGGGTACTATTGAGGAATGCATTCAGATAGAGAGAGCGCTCCAAGGTCCCCCTGTCCAGGCATAGCACAGATTACTTTACCGTAGTTTTCCCAGATTCTAATTCTGTCAAAGTTTTCTCTGTAGCAATAACATAGAGTTGAAAATCTTCACTCACCTTGATTTTCTATCATCCGTTTCTACAGTAGTTAACTAGCAATAAAACATTTTAAAGTATTGAAGCATATACAGAAAAAGAAGATAATACTGACCTACCTAATTTCTTCCTGGCTTGGTATATGTTCAAAGCATTAAATCATTTGTAGTATTGTTTAGGACATTGACTTTTATTGTTTGCAAGAAAAATCCTTAACCTCAGTTGAGTTCTCTTGCATCTCTGACTATCTTTGGCATTCATCTCAGTTACGGACCTGATGAAAGGTTAGCAGAGAATAAGGTCAGATTCCAATACAAATTCCAAGCAATCTACCCAGTGGAATATTCTCTTCTTGCTTGACAAGCCAACTGTTGAAGGGGGTTTACTGAAATGTCTAATTTGCAACCTTTATTGTTGGATTCTTCAGTAAAAATTATCCTTCTTTCTTGTACACTGGCAGAGAAGAGTTAAATGAGGGAGAGAAGAGAGTCAAAGAGTATAAACACTTTTTTTTTTTTTTTTAACTTTGAAAACCTCTTTCCCACCTAGCTATCATTAATATGAATAAAAGTTCTGTAATCTACCTGCCTGCATCTTAGGCACCTTTTTAAAATTATACTCTACAAACTGTAAAGATGAAGTGGAGAATGTTCACAATATTTTCTGCACGTACACATACAAACATGATGAAAAGAAATTTAACTACTTCAGTTTCATCTGGAGATTGGGGGGAGAAAAAAAACATAGTGCATTTTAACATTCAATTGATATCAACAGGCTGTGGGTTGTTTACCACAGCCTTCTCTCATGGAAGGCTGCATCATCTTCAAGAGTAAACTGAAGCAAGATGAACTGAAATAGTCAAACCTGGGAAAGAGAGAACCGTGGAGCATTAGACAAATCCCATGGCTTCAAGATCAGGTTGCAGTTTACTCAATTCATGAAAGAAAGTGCCATGAGCTGTGTTTTGATATCCACACTCCCAAAACCGACACAGTTCCCAGACTTGTATCAGACTGTCAGTCTCTACAGCACGACCATAGGGCACCCTCAGTCAACAGAGAATATGATCACTGCTCACATCAAGAGCTCTCCCAAGCAGCTGCTCCTGCGCTGTTTCTGGCCCCTGCCAGATTCTAATCGGTATAAGTCAATGTCTTTCTACACAGGATGTGCTTTCTGTAGGAGGTTAATATTTTTCATTTCCATTGCGTTCAGATTTATTGGATATTAGTGGTGGGTAATGCTCCATTAGGAAGGAAAGTAGTTCCTTTCATAAAGCTTTGCACTGGAAATACAAACTACTTTTTCCTCTGAAGTAAAAGTGTTAATTGTTATTTTCACTCAATTACATGCATTCTTTCAAAAATTCTTTCTGCTCTTTGCTTCCCAACAGCCTGCATGGCTTTGTGCTCCCCCTTGAGATGAAACAGAATTAAAGTATAGCATGTTATGCCTGCCAAGTTAGTACTGTGTGTGCGTGTAATGTAAATTGGTATGTTGTTTGTCTATGAATATTCTAAATTCTGCCATTATGTATAGGAGATTTTATTTCTACTTATCTAAAAATATACTTCACCCAAGGAATGTATAATGTTCATCAGTTGGATCTGATTTTTCTAATACTATTTCTGTATCACAGTGAAGAGGCAGCAGGGTTCTATTCCAACTTTCTACTCTACTATAAATAGAATGGACTGTTGATAAAGTTCACAGTTTTGTTTTAGTTTTTACTATGTCCTCCAAAAATCAGATCTTTAAACCTGCCAAGGTTCTGTTGCTTGCCATGTCTTAAGACTTTACTTTTTTGGGGGGGGGGGAGGTTATGCAAGGTAGAATATGAACTCTCAAGCAACCATGTATCATGCTCCTATCCAACTATTTGGACCTTAGACTATAAATCTTCATTACATTTCAAATCGTTTCATTTCAGCCACAGCGCCCTGTGCTTGCTCATGAAAACATACACAGTGGGGGGGAACCGTAAGTATACTTCTTGTCTACTAAACCAAAACCTAACATTTAAGCAATAGCCAGCACATTGTCAAATAATTTGTTAACCTGCCAAGTACAATTATGAAGAGATTCCAGAAATTTACAGATAACCGCATGATGTAGGAAGATATCCAAGAAGGTCCCAGAGGGCAAAGCCTTAGTTGTTTAATTTACATCCAACTCAGACAGACATGCCAACTTACAGTTCTTCATTGTTTATACTTAAAAGGGATAATAATTTTGTAAAAATAAAAGTTTGACTTTTTTTTATTCACTCCATTTTTACATCTCAGCAGAATGTCAATTAAAGATTTAACATTGATTCAACTCACTCTCCTCTGCTTTACTGACTTGACAAAAATTATTCAGAAACAGTTCTGGATGTGAATAGAGAGAAAAAAATAACTATAATGTTGATCACAGGAACACAGGCTCACACTTTTTGGTGTAATTTACATGTGCAATTTAAAAATTGGATACAAGAAAGCCTTTCTGAAAACTGAAGAACCACCTAGATCTCAAGTCTTATTTTCACAAACTGCTTTACTGACTTGACAAAAATTATTCAGAAACAGTTCTGGATGTGAATAGAGAGAAAAAAATAACTATAATGTTGATCACAGGAACACAGGCTCACACTTTTTGGTGTAATTTACATGTGCAATTTAAAAATTGGATACAAGAAAGCCTTTCTGAAAACTGAAGAACCACCTAGATCTCAAGTCTTATTTTCACAAACAATGTAATCACTTGGGATAAAACATGTCAGGCATGTAAGAGTATTTCAGTGCTGACTATTAAAATGCAAGTTCAGTGCAAGATTGTTTCGATTTTTTTTTTTAATTTCCCTCCCCCCCCAGTCTTGCACTTGGGTCCTGCTTCAGTGATCATTAAAACCAGTAGCCATTCTTCCTTTAGCATCAGAGCACTTTGGAGTATGCCCTATTAGATGAATTCTCCTAAGGCTTAACATCTAAAAGTATTTAAAAGTTTACCTGTTAGTCACTTGAAGGAATGGCAAGAGAGAAGAGAGGGGCAAAAAGTTACCAAATAACTATACCACAGATAATATATAATGAAAATTAGACATTCTGGTTTCAATCGCACCAAAACCATTTTTCTCAAGCTCCTGTTGGTTTTGTTGAGCATACTGAAGCACCTAACTCTGTTTTGTAAGCAATAATTATCAAATTAATTTTGTTCAACATAGTTTAAGTAGTTCATGACTAAAGTTACTTATTCCTAAAGTTAAAAATAGAAATATATTTAAACTGTCCACTAACCATTCTTTGTCTTGAATATGTATTCTGTTAGCGTTGTAAATGGTAGTAGAGTTTTCATGTTTAAGAAATTCCTAGATTAGTAAAGAGAGAATGAAATGACTACAAAGGAGTTATTAAAATGGATTATCTAGAAATGACTAAGATTAGATTTCAAAAGTACAAAGAGTGCTAATCGGGAAGTTCTTGTTAGTGCATTTGAGTAAGTAATTGGCTTGAATCCTATTCATGACACATTACAGCTGCAACTCCTGTACCTTTGGAAGCTGCATTTAATCAGTTTTGGAATATCATCATAGCTCTGCTTTCCTCGAATAATGATAAGCATGACAGAAAATGTTATTGCCATTTAATTTTTTGCACAGATCGTTCTTACTCCTGCTACAAATTACCAGAGGTAATTGCTTAAATAACCACTCCCGTTCCATTCTGTTAGTATGATTAAAATAAAAAATCAGACTTTACAGATTTAGGGAGATAACTGCCAGTCAACAAAAAAAAAATCATTTTTTTCTTGGAACAGTGTCTTTTTTTTTTTCTCTCCAAACCAGCAATCTGAAAAATAAGTGTGATTTATTCAAAAAGATCATCATTACACTAAGCCTCGTACCAGCCTGTATATGGAATTTTCAAATGGGACTTTCATGAGCAGGAATTTTTTACCTAAATAAACATCCTATTTAAGCCATGGATACTTTGCCTGAATGATACAGAGCTAATGGGACTATTCAGTACCAACACATCAAAGGGGGAGTTACTTTGTTTTTACTGGGGGAAGTGTAATGGCATTAAGGTTTTAAAGTCAGTAAACTGTTGTTAAGCAGGAAAAATGGACATGATTATGTTTTGGTTTGATATTTTGAAATTAAAACCATGTCCTTTGTACAATTTCAGTTGTACCCTGCTCCTTTACATGCAGTCAGTCATAGCTGGGGCACAGATGGTTAGAAAAGACAGGCAGATTCTGACTCTGCAGGACTCATGGGCTTTTGCAGCAATCTTCCCATGGGCTGTCAGCCCAAGCACCTTCAGTTCCCCTTATTAAGAGTTTATTGCCATTCTTTCAATTCCAGGAAACTCAATTAAAAGCTGACGAGGAATGAAAGACAATAAATTTAGCAATCTCATACCTCTTTCTATTTATCCGCCTCAGATCCTTCAATCTGCAGCCCCTGGCTGGGGTAGAGATACAAGTCAGTGTCTGAATACTGTTTGAGTTTCCATCCTTATGTCCCCTGATTTGATTCAGGCCTCTCCCTCACTCTCAGATTAATTTTTTTTTTATATATCTGTAGAGCAGGGGCAGTTTTAACCAGGGAAGGGGTTACAGCTGCATGTTTCCAAATAGCAGTTACCCTCCACCTTCCCCACAGAGGTAGGCACCTCTTTTTCATGCAGGGCTCCTATAACGCCCAGTCTCACCTCAGCAGTTGCTACTGAGGAGCCCCGGGAGGTCCCCCAGTCACAGCGATAGCGCGCGTGAGCCACTTTCCTGGGCACCCTCTTCCACCGACTACAGAAGGATGCCAGCCACCTTGGTTATGCTGCGTGGCCCTTCGCTCTGCTGGGGCCAAGAATGCGTACACTAGGTTCAGCTTTCCAGAGCTCAAAGGCAGAGCCACAGTTTTAGGTGCTGACCGTGGCAGGTTAAGGGGCTAGCGCATCTACAGACTCCCCACTCCACAAGTCTTCTGTTTTGGTGACTCAACTATAAATTAATGCTCGGGGGGAGGGACACACAAACCACACAACAACAAACAACCTAGAATTCTGTGTTCAAAGCAACTGGTTAAACTAACTGGTTGAGGAGCCATCAGGCTTGCCTTGAGTCCACAGTCTTTAGTGTCTGATGAGTTACCTTTCCAAAAAAGTTTTTTTTATTTACCTAGCCCTGAAGTCCACCAGGCAAAATAAACCCTTTTCCCCTATATTTGCAAGAAGTGTTACGTATTAGTTAATGTTTAAACCAGGTCCTTTACTTCAGCAAAGGTGCAAAGAACTCTTACTTCTTTTTAAAATGCATCATTTGTCCTATTTAAGGTTTCAGGCTCTATATAACTATACTCCTAGGAATGAAGATGAATTGGAGCTCAGAGAGGGAGATGTCATTGATGTGATGGAAAAATGTGATGATGGATGGTTTGTGGGTATGTTTTAATTCAGTTGCTTTTTCTTTTTTCTCTCCCCCCCCGACTTTGCTGCCCTCTTTGCTTGGTGTCTTTTAAACAAATTAATGTTTGGTATTCAGTGTAATAAACGTGAACCTGGCTTTATCGGGAGAAATCCCAAACAAAATCCACTGAAGTCAGTGGGCGATTTTTCACTTGTGTCTTTTGGAATTGATGGACACAAACTGACACGTGCCTCCAGTTTGTTGTACAGCACTGTTGTCATTCTCATGTGACACAAAATGGACTATGTATTACTGCTCTCTTCATAAAGACCAGGTGACATAAAACTTCCTCGCGTTAATACATCTACGCATTGACTGCTTGTGAGAACCAAGTATTACTGAACAGAGATTTCATAACTAAGCCTAGATAAGGTGGCTTAATCATTCCATAAACCCTCATGCACACAGTGGCTAACAATCATCTAGCTAGTCCTCAGCATTTCAAAAATTCAGAATTATTTAAATAGACTTGATGTTGTTGAAATTAAATTATTTCTATGTACCAAGTCAAAATTTTAGCACAGATTTTAATCAGGCCTAACAATTTAATCAAATATGCCTCTGTATTTGCTTTTTCCTTCCTGCAGTTACAGTTTGTTAAAACTCACAACTCACAAATGAAATTCAAAACAACTTTTTGAAGTTATATTATAAAGAACTGTAGATATTTCTGTTTGTGCAATATTAGACATAAAAATTTAAAGGCCATGCTTACATAGTGATTTCCTGTTGTTATTCCCATCTTTCATCTATTGCTTCTAATTTCAGGAACCTCGAGAAGAACCAAATTCTTTGGTACTTTCCCTGGAAACTATGTCAAGAGGCTGTGAATTTTTTTTTTCCCCTACTTATTTATGCTGCATCTCTGCAACACATCTGCATAAAGCTGCTAGAAAACATGCTATGCTGGCCTTCTGTTTTCTTGCTTGCGGTCTCAAATAGAGGCCATCTAGTTCATCCTCATCCCATCCCATCTGCCAAACCGTTCCAGCAGTATTACAGCAACGACCACGGTGTGAATAACTAAGCTTTTCTGAAACAAGAGGAATCGTTTCAACATTTAAATGCTCCCTGCTTTAAAGTCTTTTCATTTGAAACACAATAGGAAAAGCCTGATGACAGGTTCACAGATGAATTGCCATGGGGGGGTGGGGAGTGGGAGAAGATGTTCTTGGTTTGGACATTTGTGGCACTACCATGAAGTCTGATGGGATTTTTTCAGCATGCATGTAATACAGGGGGAAGTTGCTGTTTACTATTTTTAAAAAAATTGTTTGAGTTTCCACATTCTTATTAGCTTGGCAGCATTTGTTGCTTTCACTTTGCCGTATCACAGGTTTGCCTATTGTACTGGTTTACAATGTATTGCAAATTATAATATAGATTTTTTGCCTGCACTTCTATGTTGTAACATATGCACAGAGATTGTAAAATCTCAAACAAGCGTAGTGAAAAATGGAAGAATTGCAAGCGTTCTGAACGGGTGCAATGGTATTGGCGAAACGTCTTTTTCTTTTTTCCCTAATAAAGCTATAGTGTTTTCTGTTAAAAGGTAAGAAGTGCAAGAGGCATAAAACCTCGCGAAAGAGGATTTAATGAAGAGACAGACAAAGATACAAGCATAAACAATAATAACTTGCTACTGATGTCTGGCATTAAATGGTTGTAATCAAAACGTTGTAATAGTAAGCAACATGAAATTTGAGAGGTTAGTGTTTTTACGTATCACAGGAATTTTAAGAAGCAGGAAGTAAACGGCGTTAGTGCAAAGGGACTATATATATATATATATATATAAAAAAATATATGTATGTTAACGAAACCTGAGTTACACATTCTTTTTAGAAATTTAGTACAGAAAAAAGAGTCACAAGTATTAAAACTGATACATTTGAGAGGTGGGTTTGTTTTTTTCCTGAATGAAACAAGTATTTGAAAACATACATTTTCTGTAAGCAAAGGTAAGCATAAATAGCAAATGAAATTAAGGCACAGGATGAAAATTACTATGGCTTTATAAAAATAAAAGTTCAGATTTGGTTTCTTCAGCACCTTATAGATGGCAAAAGCTTCTACTGCATTTCTCATGGGTAAAGGATTGAAATTATCAAAATGTATGTAGTCTCTGTAGCATTTTGTACATATGTTTGCTTTTTTGTACAGAGCCATTTGGTTGTTGATTTTAAAAAAAAATTAAGTTCCGTATTTGATCTTTGCCCTCTTCACATACAAAACATTTCAATGCATTTTTCTTTCTTGCTCTATTTACCATAAGCACATCTGGATAGTGCAATTCTGTAAGATAGCATTTTATGCAAAATTTTATTAATTAAAATATGGTTTACCAGCCAAATCTAAATGTACATATGTCTTTATTACTGAGAAATGTCATTAAGACAAAGGTAAAGAAACATCTTTGTGCAGCATACCTTTATTATTGCAGATTTCATGGCAAAAGCTTTATATTCAAAGGCTTTCAATTTTAAACTAGATCTGCATGCAGCTTTGCTGTGAGATTAATACCTATCTTTGATGCCATTTATGATTGAAGGCTTAAATATCTGTTGCCTGTGATATTTAAAAAGTACTGTTTCTACTCTGTATCTGATTTTAGAAAAATACACGTTTTTCATACCTGGCTTTCAGGTAACTGACTTTGAATTCCTACAAGCAGAAGGTCTCTGTGGTTTTTTTCTTGAATAGACTTCTAATAAATTTTGCTTGGAGTACACAACTGTTTCCCCCATCATTTCTCAAAATACACATAACATATTACTTAAGTGTTGCAAAGCGCTTAACTCTTCGAGCTTATATGCAGTTTTGCCTTTACAGAGGTTTTTTCCCCACCACCAAGCATACACCGGTTATATATATGGGCAACTAGCATTGCCCACACAGCTCTCAGTTGGTCTACTTCAGTGTCATCCCTAAAACACTTGAATCCAAAAGCAGCTTTATGGACTTTCTGCATTGACTGTGCCAGTTTGAGATAATTTTTCTGGCTCTGGCAGCCACCCTTCACTCCGGAAGCACAAAGGTAAAATACACAACAGTAAGCCCTTTATAGCTGGCAAAAGTTCCCATGCCCTAATCCTTTCCTTTCACAAAAGCAAAACAAGAAATCCTCTGTAAAGTGACAGCACGGAAGCAAGATTTAAGGAAAATACAGATATTTGTGGAGCATCTTACACTTGGGATTCTGCCTGCAAAACTGAATTATACCATACTAATGTCTCTTGTCTGGCAAGGATCAACTGTTCAAACAAAAACAAAACCTGCAACAAGAAGCAAAGTAAGCAAGCAGCAGCCTTCCCTCCCCACCCCCGGCTGGTAAGACAGCTACTGCTAGTGCCTCAGAGTAGCTCTTTGGTCCTGCTTCTCCAAGCCATGCTGGCCGCCGTTGCCGGGCTGCCTCCTCCCAAACGCTGTGTGCGCTGTACTTCTACCACTGAAGAATGCAGCACGACAGCAACCTGCGTTTGGACAGGAATAACTTACTTCAAGTCTCATTCATGCTCAGCTTTGTCTTTACAGCAGCTGGGCTGGAAAATGCAAAACCACCGTCGGCTCTAAATAAATACATGAGTATGTAACTTAAAATGTTAACTTTGTCTACAGGACTGCTGTTAAAACTCCAGCAGATAAACTCCTTTGTCAGTATAAACATTGTCGGTGCTGGGAGTGCATTCAGTTTAGACAAGGCCCAATTTATTATTGCTGAGGTAAATGTGCCCTTCCAGTGCTAAGTTAGCTTAAACCCACCACATGCATCTCTTCTGACAGCTCTATAACCAAATACTGCAGTATACAATCAAACGTCGTGTGGTTTGTCCTTTCTGTTTGCTGGGTGACCCAGCACGGGATCTGGGACAGCACGGAAGCACTGCTTTGTGCCATATACCTGTAAGAACTGGAAGAAGCGGGAAGTATTGTGCTTTAATAGTATTTTTCTATAAAAGCTAGCCTAATAACATCAACTGGTCGGTGTAGTCTCACTAATATAAAAAAATTCTGGATGGTTAAGGGTCTGAGTGGTTAAGGGATGAAATAGCATCCTCTGCGCTAATTGCAAAGGGGATTAAAAAAAAAAGCAAAAAGATAGGTCATTGTAATAAGAATAGCAAGTCATTGACACTTCAGGAAAAACTATAGTGTTAATGTTTTAGTCAAAAAGTAGAGAAATACTAAAGTTATGATCAGGTAAACCAAATATATTCAAATCGGCTGTCTGCTGAAATCCCACCTACATTATTTAAGGAACAGACTGAAGGATTTTTTTGAGCTTCCTTGTATAAGCCTTTTATACTCCCCTATACATTCACGAAGGAGACCTCACAGGACTAGGCAATGCTTTGTCCTTAAGGCCAGAGGAAGAGAGACCTGGGGAATTAGAGGCCAGCCAGTTTAATGTCTAGGAACAGGCCAGAACAAATCAATTAAAAGCCTCAGATATTCACAGATTTTTCTAGAAAATGATGTATCAAATCAATTTCCCTTTACCTCGTCAGGATATGTAGTATGCATCTTGATTTCTATTAGGATCTTCTTTTAATGCTATGACATGGCAGCTGTGTTAGCAGACTAAGAAAAGTCTGTGTCAGTCCACATGAAATCAAGTTTGTTGCAGAGTTGTGCTACATTACAGATAAACAGGTAACATAACCAGAGTGTCCCAAAAAAAAAAAAAAAACACCAAAGATTCCACCACCTACGCTGCAGCGAGCTGTGCGCCCGCTGTTGAGGCAAAGGCCTCTTCAAACAAGAAAACCCGCAAGTCACCGACAAGCCAGGGAGACCAATGCACGGGCAGTTCAGGGTAATGATCTATATCCCAAACTCAGCGCAGGGTCACCGCAGCAGGTTTAACATTCTGTCACCCGTACCAAAGCAAAGCATGCTGTCATTCTGCGATGCCTGGTATTTTCTAGTTGCCTTTTAAATGCTGATGCACAGAACCCGGACAGGAACACGAGGTGCTTCCTGTGCATTTGAAAAAGCAGTGCACGAGCCAACGGGAAGCTAGAAACATGAAGTCAGTAGCTCTAGAGGGACCTTAGGTCATTGCTAAGTATATTCCCTTACAGCAGTTATAGTTACATGGTGAAACCCTACCTTTGCTCCAGTTAACAGCAAACGCCGTTGAAGTCAACAGATCCCACAGTATTGGTCATACAGTTTTACGTTAGCTTGAAAAGAAAATTGCACAAGAGAGAGGCACTGAAGCAACTGAGTGTCCAGTTTGGGTTCGTTTTATTATACTGAGAAGTATGAGTGCGGGCAGAGACCAGAAACCGCTTCTTTAACTGCTCCCACTACACAGCACAGCAGATAGGTACTAGAGAAGGGAACTAATTGGCAAGTTAACTTAAAGTCAAATTATATGTGGCTCCAAAGTTGCAAAAACATATTGAAAGGGCCAATAATTCCATTTTTAAACATGTTTATACAGCAGAACCCCTTGTTACATCTAGCAAATATCAATCAGGCTAAGATCTGAATCCACCCATTTTACAGAGCAGGGAACTTGCCAGACCAACATGTAGAAATCGGTACCTCGTCCATACACAGTAAGCAGGGAAGATGAATTTAATAAGGCTTTCTTCTGCAACTCTACAAGTAATCAATCAACATCATGCTATTTGTTTGACTGGATGCAAAAAACACCATTTTACTCTTATCCTCGCCCCCAATGGCCAGATAGTTAAGTTCCCAAGTCCTAGCAGAAAATTGTCCAATAGAATCTATTATTCTCATCAATATAGTGAAGTCATATTCCTTTGACAATTAAAAAAATATTTTTTTATATATATATGTAGAATATGACAGAAATCCACTGAAAGGGAAACAAAAGAATGAATGAATTCCTCCTTGCACTACCCTGAGTCAGATACTATTTAGGCCAAAGAAAGTGATACCAGTGACATACAGGCTCTTGTTCATGTATTTTGCGTCACGTCTGAAACACAAAAAGAATAACAGAAGTTTCTAGGTTAATATGCAGTGATGAAACCAGGGAAGAGCCTGAACAATCCTGCAGGTACAATTTTTAGTGCAATCCCACTGGCTGGTTACACTGTGCACCATCATTCTTTAGCACCTCTGCACCCAAAACTCCCAGCTCCTGTTTCATTTGCATCAATGTGAATCTCTTATAAAGCATTACAGAATTATGCCTTCTAGTATTTAACTTCTGTTTCTTCAAGAGTCGTAGAGAAGGAGCAAAGTTCTGCATTAACAGACTATTTAATATTACCAGAAAGTAGAAAGCATTCTTGCTAAAATAGCTCTAATGCCTATAATAACTATGCCATAGCAATTTTTTTGTGCAGCCTTTGTATAGTGACGTCACATCTAATTACAGATCGGGTGCAC